AAACTTAGTGTTGTCCACGTCTTTCAATTCAGGATAAAATTCCAGCAGAAACTCATGGAAACTGACCTTATCGTCTTTAATCAAGTTAATCTCTCTGAATGGAAGCAGAAACATACAGTCCACATCCCGATTGGCTTTTTCTTCGGCCCAGTCCAGGATGAACTTGTGCACGGAGAACGTTTTTCCGATGCCAGCGATGCCTTTGGTCAACACAATGTTTCCCTCTTCCTTTTCCCTCAATAAACAGAATATGTCGTTGCAGTCAATCGGTGTTTCCTCAAATTTGGGAGTTTTTAAGAATCGGTCAATCTTGTGAACTTCATGTTCGCCATAGACGTCTGTAATGTCCCCTTCAGTGATGAAGAGTTCAGTGTAGACTTTGTTGAGATGTGTTTTGTTGTCTGTTTTGCCCTCAAAAACACGTCCTGTTTTGGTCTTCATGTTTTTTTTGTGAGTTTTCAGATCATTCTCTAGATCAAATCAAAAACACAAGAATTGTTGTTAATCAAACGTGAGTTCTGCCTCAAATCATTAATATGTTGGGAATCGTAACTTGTAATGCTACGTTCACACCGGATGCAAATAGCACGTCATATTCGCGTCTACCGCGTCTAGTTTGACGCTTGACCACTTTGTGTTAATTCTCGCGTCAAGAGCGAAACTGACGCGCGTAAAATCAAAAGTTTAAAGCGAAATTGTAAAAATCGAAACCCGTTGGCGGCCATCTTTTTTATGTTGATCGAGCATTCATCGAGAGATTCACCGCACCACACCGTATTTGCTCTGGAAAGCTAGAACAGCGGCGTGGGGATCATCGTCGCCGTATTTGTGTCCACCGGACCCTTCAGAGGCGAACCGTTTGGTGAGTTTCGCCATTTGCTCGCTCCAGGAGCTGCGCCTGGATGACGGCCGCTGTCAGTGGTACTTCCGTCTGTCCCGCTTCCAGTTTGATGACCTGTTGTCCCGCATCGGAGCGAGGATCACCCTCGCCCTCATCCATCTAGCTAGGAATGCATAAATGGCACTCACTAAATCATTCGCGCTTAACGCGCCAGACGTTCAATTCCGCGCCCGTTCTACACTTCATTCGCGCCGCAGGAATTTTTTACGTGCATAACGCGTCTTTGCATGGACTTAACAATTAAATCATTCGCGTCCGGTGTGAACGCACTATAGAGGTTCAGCAGTCCATCTACTGTAAATGCAAGTCAAATTTATAACCAGAATACAAATGTGGCTATTGTTTTTGTACCTAGTTTTTCAGAGGTCTGTCCCTCTGCTGGATTTTGTTGTCCTTTGTGGATGGCAGCAAGGATCCGAAACAACACCAGAAATAAAATGCACAGAGGTTATACACAAATCGTTTAGCTATTAAAGTCGTAACAAAGCATTAGGGGTTCAACGACATATTGTGTCACAATATATCGCAATACAAAAATATTTTTTGTCTCTATTGTCCGTGCATTGGGTTTCCAGCATAAGGTCCAAGCATGTTAATTTACAACCACAATATAAACCAAATTTAGTTAACCTTTATTAGTGTCTTGGAGAATCGCAATAATATTGTATAATTAGTTCAAAGTCGTGAAATGTATTGAATTGTGACATGAGTTTATCGTTACACCCCTACAAAGCATAATAATTCAAAGCTTACAAACTATATGCAATGTCATAGTGACACACGTTAACTGCATTAGTGCTATAATCTTACCAGTAACACCAGTAGCTGAGTTCGAGTTGATGATTATTGAGCCATGGACGACACTTCCAATGAGTACTGGTGAAATTGCAGTTGCACCTGATTCAGCTTTCAGATCCACATTGACAGCAGTGTGAGGGGGTCTGATTGTCTGCACTGGGATAGAAACTGAGAGATTTACACACTTTCTTACACTACAGCTTTAAAATTAAAGGGTTAGTTCACCCCAGAATGTAGATTTCCGGAAGTGTTACCTTTCACTGTGAAGATCTAAACGTATTTAAATATACAGGAAATCTCACTGGAAGACGATTTCAATATATCAACAGACAACGTTGAATTTTTTTTCGCAACCGCGCGAGAGATCACTTCCGGCGCTTTCCGGCACTTGCACAGACCAAGGGGGCCGCGCCCTCAGATCAGTTGGACGTGACTGTGATTACATGAGGTAAAAACTATATAAATACTGTTGGTTTTCTCACACAAACCGCTCGTTTTGTGTCTTAGGCCATCAATGTGTACTTACATGTACGAGTCATTAAATCATGTTTAATTTGGACTTTTCTGTGCATGCTCTTTGAGGTGGACCCCAATAGACCTCCATTATACGACTGATAGACACGAACGGTTTGACCTAAAAATATCAAAATTGAGAATAGTGTGGAAACAAAGACACCTACATCTTGGATGCCCTTGAGGTAAGCTAAAACATATCAAAAATTAATTTCAAAATGAACTATCCCTTTAAGTTTATCAAGCGACGAGAATGCTTTTTGTGTGCAAAAAAAAATAAACAAAAATAACAACTTTATTCAACTATTAATTTCCTTCTCTGTGGGCCGTGAGATTTCACGTAGTGAAACTATGCAAAGCTTCTGTGTTGTACGTCAGGCTCACCATTTGCCGACGCGGGTCGTGTGTGATGCGTGTCACGTACAACCTGAAATCTCAAGGCCAACAGAGAAGGAAATTAATAGTTGAATAAATTAATAGTTAAATAAAATCTTTATTTTTTTTGTTTTTGCGCACAAAAAGTATTCTTGTCGCTTGATAAACTTAAGATTGAGCCACTGGTCACTCTGACTATTTTAACAATGTCTTTCATAACTTTGTTTCGATCCCTTAAGAGGCTTAGTGATCCAGAGCTCAGATTTAATAAAAAAAAATATCTTAATTTGTGTTCTAAAGATGAACGAAAGTCTTATGGGGTTGAACAACATGAGGGTGAGAAATTACTGACAGAGTTTACATTTTGGGGTGAACTATCGCTTTAATGACATTCACTTCATTACCATTCATCTGTTCAGCTTGGATCCTCTGGAGGTCCATCTTCACATCTTCATCTGATCCACGACACTTCTTCTTCAGCTCATCTGCAGCTTCACGTGCGTCTTCACTCTTCATTTCATCAGCTGTATCTGCTCTTTTTAGCCTCTTTTCTTTGTCATTGTCCAGCTCAAGCTGCTCTGGAACGGACGCCATCTTGTCTACTGAGGTCTAGTATAAGATCGAGATATGACCAGAGACTTGCTTGATAGTTTGCTTCAAATTTACAATTAATTAAATCACAGTGGCATAATAATAATAATTTGATAAACTCATGGAGGACACACTTTTAATACCAAACAAAGCCCTAACTGATGAACAATAAACAAGTTATAATATAAGAACAGGTTTGCTACTGTACAGACATTCTCAAACTTATGTAAATTACGAAGTCTCATAAGGCCCATCACCCCAAGAACGATTTCTATAATAATACATTTATTTGCGTCCCAATAATGTTTTTATTTTTAATTATTATTATTATTATTATTATGATTAATGCGCGTTTCCACTATGGCCATTTACTCTGGAAAACAGCTCGTTCAAGTGATTTAGCGAGGTCATCCTTCTTATCGCTGTGGTGTGGACTTTGATATTTTCTTATATTTCTCTGAAATCGTTGGTGTAAACGGGGCGCGTGAACGGTTGAATTCAAAGTTCGGAAAGCAAAAGCATGCAAACTCGAATTGCGTGAACGACAATCAATTCATTAGTAACTTAATGTATATTAAACATAATATAACGTTTTAATCAATTTAAGACATAACGCTGGATGGATGCAAAGAGTATTTTTTATCAAAGACAAAAGTGCAACTTTATCTCAGTATAATGTACTGCCATAATAATTTCTAAAGCACACTTAAAAAACAACCAAGGCTGAACAACAAAAAGTAAACTTTGATAAATATATAACACACACGATACCTGTCCTGTAGTTCTTAAAGCCGTCTGTTGTTACTTTCACTTTAGAACGCTTCCTTTTTATGGAAGGAAAAAAAAAACATCCGGTCAAAAATCTCCCATTCTGCTTTCAACCTGAAGGAGGCGCTGATACTCAACTCATATTATTGTTTGGTTGAGCAGCTAAAATAAATCTAACCTAGTTAAACATTAAAGTTTATTAAAATGTGCATCAGGGTTAATCTTCCACCTGGTCGCTGTGCTGCAGTTTTTAACCTTTCAGGACTTGTGTGACTGTAAAGTATTGGGAAATACTGAAGCTAATCATCAATAATAAATATTTCCTTTATTGTTTTCCACAAAGCAATGGATATAATAATTCCCACTCATTTAAGGTTTTAGATCATGGGCTGACTCCTAGATGAAAACAAATACCCTGCATTAATCACGACTGCAGTGCCCGACACCATCGGATGGTCATCGAATTGCATTCTGGGATATTATTGCTTAATTAAAGCTGTATTCTGGCAGTACTACACACACACACACACACACACACACACACACACACACACACACACAAATAAAAATGTGACATTTTGGCAACAGATTTTTATATAAAATAAATTTGAATAATAATGCATCCATTATTGTACGAAAGTGGCATCAGAAAATATGTTTAGAGTGGCCGAAAATGGGTGGGCCGTAACAACACGGCATGTATTCTTTGTTACACAGCTTTTTTTTTTTTTTTTTTTTCATTAATGTACTACAGCATTACCTTTCTCCACTTATTCAATCCTTCACTGTGTATTTAGTTTGTTTATATTTCTGTAATAAGCACTTGTAGATATGAACTAAATAAGTAGGCTAGTAACCACTTTTAGCATGGCTTAGCATACATCATTAAAGCAACTTTACCTTTTCCGTCAGTCTTAGTGCACGATGTAACTACAGAAGAGTCAAGTTTTAAATAGGTATAATATCGAAACACTTTGGTCATTTTTTTTTTTTTTTTTTGAGAAATGCTAATGGTCTTGTGCACTTCAATGATGTATGCTAAGCTATGCTAAAAGTGGTACCGCCAGAACCGGAGATCGGCTGAAATGAGTAAAATTGTCAAATGAGCCTATTTCCAAAAATAATTAACAATTTGCTAATTTTAATCGTCCATTGCGCGCGTTCCTGTTGTGTGTGCTCAAATTGGCAGTCCGCGAGCGTCGTCGAGCCTGAGGAGCAGGCGGTGGGAGAAACCACGATCTTCCATATTATGACTTGGACTGCAGTACCTGTTTCCACCACTAGCTGCCATTTAAGTGAGGCGTGATTCAGGTTTGAGTGTTCATGCATGAATGTCCACAGTGTTTTATGGTCTAACGACGGCGTAGTCACTAGTATCCTGCCCGTCAGAAGTCCTGTCTGACAGATGAGATGAAAATTCGATGGTGGAGTAGGTGAGATTATCAGAGGGGCTGCTGGGTAATTGAGCTAAAGCATAAACAGGGGTGACCAAACTGTAGTCAGGATGATCAAGTGTGTTACCGATATCATCATAATCAGAGACACTATTAGTGACCTGACCAAAGAGAAGAGAAGATTGTGAAACAAATGGTTAGATTATAACCCACAGATAAAAGATCAACTCAAACCGATGATGACGAGACTCACTTCTCTGTTTGGTTTCATATCTCTGTTGGGCAGAGGCTTAGGCGGGCCTTGGTTGACATCTCTGGGCTGCTTTCCTGTTTTATGACAACAGATTTAGTGGATAAATGTATTAAAGACCTGTATTTTCAGTTTTGTGACTATAAAAATGAGAGGTAATATTAATGATTTGTGAGGAATACGGTCACCTTCTTTCTTTTGTCTCAATCTGAAGTACATAAACAGTGAGAATCCAAAGCATGTCAGGATCCCTATGACCACCAACATGATGAACACGGTAAAACCTGGGAAAACAGACGACGAAACCATGTGAATATGACTACTTCTAAAGAAACGTCATAACTTTAATCGACTGAACTCATCACACCTGATCCTGGTTGAGGTGACTCATTATTATTAGATGGGGATTGGTTCAGTAACACTGAAGGTGAAGTTGTTGATGACGATAGAGGAAACACAGATGTGACGGGTGTGGTAGATACACTCTCTTCAGCCGCTGGTTTGCTGGTGTAAACTGTTGCTGTTGTGGTTGGTTTCGGTGACGTCTTCGCTGGTGTGCCTGAAAAACAAATAACTGGTTTAATAAATGACAGTCCAGTGCAGATATGACGAGAATGCAAAAGTAAGATTATTCAAAGCATTTTCAGAAAACAAACAGTTTAATTACTGGCAGAAGATCATGTGATCTGTTGGCACTTCCCCTGACTGACACAGCTGTTAGTAACGCTTCGCTGCTGTCGAGGGTGTGGGGGAAATACAGCACTGTGTGTGCGAGTGTGACCATGTGTGTTTAGCTTTTTCACAAGTTATAAAGACATCATTATCAGCCATGCAAAAAGGCTGATAGCATCTTACAGTTATTAATCTTCAGATGTGTCGCTGAAATCCACTTGTTCTTGAGTCCTCTCGCTCCACACCAGTATATCCCAGAATCCTCTAGTGTCAGCTCAGTGACGGTCACAGTAAAAACTCCTGCAGATTCATCATCCCTCAGAGAGAATCTGCCGTTACTGTTTGTTTGTGAGGAAACTTTGACAGCCGACGTCTCACAGATCGACGGGTCGCTTCCTTTGCACATGAACTTGATCTTGTTCTTCACGTCTCTGTTATAACGGCAGGAGATGTTCAGATGATGTCCGGTCACTCCATACACGACAGACACTGAATCAGGGCATACATGACAGATTTAAGCGTCTCAAAGTCTCATTATGGCACGGCAGAACTGACGTCCATCGTGGAGTCTCAGATCTGTGATAGTGACGGTATATGAGCTGTTTAATCAGACACTAGTGTAAGTAATGGCAGATATTGTTTTGCACTGTTTATCACTGGCTGATGATGGAGTATAAAGTTAAAACTTCTTCCTACAACTGAAAGACCTGGACTGCTGAATCACTAACGTCGACTGATATCAAGCTGTTAAATGGAACTGATTTAGACAAACACCTACAATTTGAGGTGCAAGTTACAATGAAATATATATAAATTTTAACTGCATAACTATATATGTATGCATACACTGCACATATATATATAAACCCAGCATGCCTTGAAAAAGTCTGGACGAACCAGTTTAAAGTGTAAGAATTTGAGTTGTGCAGTTATACTTTATGTTTTGAGTGAACAATTCATCCATAACTGAAATAGCGTGTCATGTGATGTGACAGGAAGTGATGCGGGTCAGTATCTGTGGTGTGAACACTCGCTCATGATCTTCTACAGAGGATACTGTGGTTTCTGTTATCTCTCTTTATATCAAACACACAATACAGTGCTCTCTCTCTCTCTCTCTCTCTCTCTCTCTCACACACACACACACACACACACTCTGTATATTATATATTTTTAGAGAATGTTAATGTTGTCTTGTGCATGTACTGTATATTTTACACTATCTCCATATGCACTGATGAAGTGTTTCATACTAACTGTATATTCTGACTTACCTGGTTTAATTTCCAGAAGAATCTCTGTTTTGTTATCATAATTTCCCCATCCTGTCTTCACACCACACCAGTATTGGCCTTCATCTGCTGTTCTCAGATCAGTGATGGTGACGGTGAAGATGTGGGCCGTTCTGTTATCGGTCAGAGAGAATCTCTCGTCTTTAGCTGGAGATCCAGATTCAACAACTTTGTCTTTAATAAGTAGTGATGGACACCCTCCTCTGCAGAAATATTTGTCATATGTTTCATATTTAGACACATAAGGACAGCGTATTTCAACTTGTCCTCCTTCATGACCAGTGAAAGTGGAGATCTCCGTCGTCTCCCATGCCAACACTAAAAACATAAGAGAGAGAAACTCAGTTCAGAGCAAACACGGACCTGATTGAGAACAGGTGATGCTTTAGAAACACAGAATAAACTCTTACCTGACATGATGAGCAGGAGAAATATGAGTTTATGATCACAGATCTGCATCATCTTCTGCTTTATCTGTGAGCCGCTGGGGGCCGGTGTTATGAAGAGCTGCTCTCTCTCTCTCTCTCTCTCTCTCTCTCTCTCTCTCTCTCTCTCTCTCTCTCTCTCTCTCCCTCTCTCTCTCTCTCTCTCACTCACACACACACTCTCTCCTCCTCTCTAATGCAGTGTCTGTAGCTCCCTCTATTGAGATCTTCATTTAATAAATTCATTCTTCCATTTTCAATTATTGATTTAGCAGACACAAATAAATTCAGTCTTGACCTTAGAAGGAACCAATGAACAAGTGTCTGTGGGTTTACCTGATCTCTGGTCAGTTTTATACATTTGTAGACTATTTAATTAGACATTAGTATAATTAAAAATGAATAATGGTATTTAATAGTCGTATTGGCCGGTTTAGCTGAGCCATTCATAGAAGTAACAAAATAAACCCTGACAATTGATAAAAGAACATATATACACTTGATAATCTTGCTAAATAATTAGATAATTACATTTAAAAGATTTCACTTACAATAAAACATTTGCAATAGATTTGTGAAAGGGTTTTTATGCATGTTTGGCCTGGGTTTCTGTTGCATTCACACTGTTGACCACTAGGGGTCGCCGTGGAGACGGGTGTCGGATTGTTTCAAAGCCTGACACAATACGGCACATTTGTACGGAAGCCCTGAACTGCAACGTAAAAAAAAAATAAAAAATTGGAAAAAAACAATCTAGCATTTCGAGATTAAAGTCGAAAAATTTCGAGATTAAAGTCAAAACATTACGATAATAGAAGTGTGTGCATTCATAACATCATAACAGTGCGCGTCCACTAGCTCAGTGCGTGCGTGTGTGTGTAAAGATACAGTCTAACTGCCATGGATTTTGGATCAGCTTCAACGGAAGACTGTATTCTCGTACTCTCGAAATATTTCGACTTTTTTCTCGAAATGTTTCAACTTTAATCTCGATACGTTTCGACTTAATCACGAAATGTTTCGACTTTATATATATATATATTATTTTTTTATGAAACTTTCTTTTATTTCTTCACTACTTTGGAAAGATCTGATTATTTTTCAGGAAATTTTAGGTTTGTGTCACCTTAGAAACCTCTTGTTTACTGGAGTAATATTTTATTAGTGTTTCTCAACTTTACTACAGAGTTTCTGTACACCGTCCACCACAAATAAACATTTCACAATTACACTCTCTTGCCGTTGCGGGATGTGGGCTGAAGTTGTATTTTCTGCGCATTTCAGTGAAGACAACTCTCAACACATTTCCTATCATACATGCCAATGAAAGACGACTGAGCCAATCAGAGTGAGAACACTTTAGCCCCGCCCATTCTGCAGACAGGCCCTTCTCATTAATCAAGATCTGTTGGATGCATCGCGTCAAGTATGATCAGACTTTACAGATTTATTCCAGATTTATTTATTCCACCGCGCTGCTTTTCCATGGTATTCAATGTAAACACACTCAAGACAGACATCTGTAATCGATAATCGAATTTGCTCGTGTCTCGTTTCATGGCACGGCCTTCCAAAGACGTGGAGCTCAAGATAAAAGAAGTTCAACTTATGAAAGATATGTCTCTAGATCTTGTGTTTTCCCCCGTTCCACTGCTTGTGTGTCATGTGTGGATTCAGATATATAACCAAACAGTTTCACTCAGTTTTACAAGATCATCATAGACTAATATTTTCATTTAATTCCTGCCCCACTGAAGTCCAGTCCGAATGATCTGTGGTCTGAAATATGACGGTTGAATATGTGAGGGAATCAGAGGCGTTGTGTTCACCGAACACTGGAAGGCCCAAACTGAAGCCAGCACGAGTGTTTGTGCACATCATCTCTTCATAATGACAGATGGTGAGAGTGGCCTGAAATTAGAGAAGAAAGACATGAGCAATCAAGGACATGGTCAACAGTGAAGATGAACAGATTGAGATAAACTCAAACAGAAACTCACGTCTTCAGTAAGCAGGGTTTCAGACGAGAAATGAACGACACCTTTCATCCACACTCCTGTTTCGGGACACCAGATTGGGACGAAAAGAAGTAAAGACTTTTAATTTGACAGGATGTGAAAGTTCGGTTATGAAAATATTATATATAAGATTAAAAATAGGTTTTCTATAGCGTGTAAAATGATGTGTTGTGACGGAGAGAACGGCAGTTTTACCTTGCCTCTTGTGTCTCAAACCGAAATATATAATCACTGACAATCCAAACACCATCAATATCCCCATAATTGTCGACATAATGTTGACTGTTGAAAAACAAAAAAATTATCTTAAATTATCCAAAAAAAATCGGATCTGATTATAAGTAACAGAATTTGTACCTAGCTTTAATTGTGGTGATAATGAAGAATCAGACGTGTGTGATGAAGATGAAGATGAAGGTGGTAGTGATGAGGTTGTAGATGTGACGCGTCTGATGGATGAACTATCTTTAGTCGCCTGTTTAGTCATGTGATGATCTGAAGATGTGCTGATTGGTTTATGTGACATCTTTGAAAAGTCTGAAGCACAAATGATCATTGGGTTTAATTTATGATACATGATCTATAGATGATGACATTAACAATCTAAACGACAGTCTATAGTTTATGCCGTTATTGCAGAATAAAAACTATTTAAGATTGTTTGCTTGCATATATTGAGCATGCATTTCAGAAGAAGTGTCATATTGTGGCACACAGTCGTGACCTTTCCCCTGACTCAGCTGTTACTAACCCTTCACTGATGTGTGGTGGAAATACAGAACTGTATGTGTGACCAGAAACACTTGTCAGATTATCAGATCGTGATTTTAAAAATAATAACTGAGGCTGATAGCATCTTACCACCATTAATGTTCAGATGCATCACTGAAATCCACTTGTTCTTGAGTCTCGTCTCTCCCGCTCCACACCAGTATATCCCAGAATCCTCTAGTGTCAGCTCAGTGACGGTCACAGTAAAAACTCCTGCAGATTCATCATCCCTCAGAGAGAATCTGCCGTTACTGTTTGTTTGTGAGGAAACTTTGACAGCCGACGTCTCACAGATCGACGGGTCGCTTCCTTTGCACATGAACTTGATGTTGTTGTTCACGTCTCTGTTATAACGGCAGGAGATGTTCAGATGATGTCCGGTCACTCCAGACACGACAGACACTGAATCAGGGAATACATGACAGATTTAAGCGTCTCAAAGTCTCATTATGGCACAGCAGAACTGACGTAATGTCAACTGATATCAAGCTGTTAAATGGAACGGATTTAAAAAAATATAGACAAACACCTACATTTTGAGGTATATATATATATATATATTCCATCGTAACTTGCACCTCAAAATGTAGGTGTACAGATATATATATTAACTGCACAACTCATACGAAACAGTTTAAAGTGTAAGAATTTGAGTTGTGCTGTTATACTTTGTGTTTTGAGTGAACGATTCGTCCATAACTGAAATAGCGTGTCATGTGATGTGACAGGAAGTGATGCGGGTCAGTATCTGTGGTGTGAACACTCCCTCACGATCTTCTAGAGGATACTGTGGTTTCTGTTATCTCTCTTTATATCTTTAAACACACAATACTGTACTCTTTCTCTCACACACACACACACACACTCTGTATATTATATATTTTTAGAGAAAGTTAATGTCTTGTGCATGTACTGTATATTTTACACTATCTCCATATGCACTGATGAAGTGTTTCACACTAACTGTATATTCTGACTTACCAGGTTTAATTTGTAGAAGAATCTCTGTTTTGTCATCATATTTTCCCAGTGCTGTCTTCACACCACACCAGTATTGGCCTTCATCTGCTGTTCTCAGATCAGTGATGGTGACGGTGAAGATGTGGGTCGTTCTGTGATCGGTCAGAGAGAATCTCTCGTCTTTAGCTGGAGATCCAGATTCAACAACTTTGTCTTTAATAAGTATTGGACACTCTCCTCTGCAGAGATATTTCTCATATGTTTCATATTCAGACTCATAAGGACAGCGTATTTCAACTTGTCCTCCTTCATAACCAGTGAAAGTCGAGATCTCCGTCGTCTCACATGCCAACACTAAAAACATAAGAGAGAGAAACTCAGCTCAGAGCAAACACGGACCTGATTGAGAACAGGTGATGCTTTAGAAACACAGAATAAACTCTTACCTGACATGATGAGCAGGAGAAATATGAGTTTATGATCACAGATCTGCATCATCTTCTGCTTTATCTGTGAGCCGCTGGGGGCCGGTGTTATGAAGAGCTGCTCTCTCTCTCTCTCTCTCTCTCTCTCTCTCTCTCTCTCTCTCTCTCTCTCTCTCTCTCTCTCTCTCTCTCTCTCTCTCTCTCTCTCTCTGGTGCATGCTGGGAGTCTGTGGAGTGTGTGGTGAGAGTGTTGTTCTAGAGTGATTGTTCTTTGGTGTTTATTTTCTTTTCTCTATGTATTTATTTAGTTTCCCATTATTATTATTAGTGTAGGAAGAAAGTTATTTCTCTTTTTTGTGTGTGCAGGGTTTGTAGGAATGGCGACTGCTTAGCCTGGGCTTCCTCATTCTGCCTTGCCGCAGCGCAATTTTATTCATGCTGCTTGGCAGTCAGGACACCATGAACCAAATTTTCCCCTGAAATAGGGAACCAATCACAGAACGGGGAGGGAGCATTTGATAGACATTCGTAGCACCCAATAATACGGCTCTGGGCATCCGTAAACCACGCCTCAAATACGAGAACATGAACATGTGGTGTCCCGAGTTTCAGTCTCAATGACACGTGGTCTGGCGTTAGCCAGAATAGCGACTGCTCACGCGTGGGGTTAATCACCTTTGTCTCTCTGAAATGGCTCCAGGTGTGTTCCTGAGGCTGGAGTGACAGTGGAGGATTTACTCCTAGTTATCAATCAGGTAATTGGTTTTGAAAACATAGTATCAGCGTCGCGCATTAATAAAGCGGTAGTCGTGTTTTTGAAAACTGAACTACTCGTTATGGAATTGATTGTAAGTGGAATATGGGTGAAGGAGACTTTTGTTACGGTTTTGCTGTCGGCTCCAGCAACCAAAGTAATCGTGTCTAATGCCCCTCCTTTCATATCTAATGAAGCTATCGTGAAAGAGTTACTGACATTTGGAAAGATCGCAAGTCCAGTAACAGCAGTCCCACTCGGATGTAAGGATGTAGCACTAAAGCACGTTTCATATGTCTATATGAAGAGTTCAGATGCAAAAGCCTCTAAGTGCCATTTGAAATTTTCTTCTAGAATGATCATTTTTATCAAGCTTGTATATTTAAGTTCAGTGATTTCACTTAAATGCCAATGATAATTACCTATTAATTGTTATTTAAGTGAAATTACTGAACTTAAATATACAAGTTTGATAAAAATCATCATTAAAGAAGAAAATTTCAAATGGCATTTAGAGGCTTTTGCATCTGAACTCTTCATATGTATCTTAGCTCGCCAGAGAGGACCTTGGAAGCTTCGTTTCTTTTCGCGTTACTCACAGACTACGTTTACATGCAGCTAATAACCCGTTCAAAACCGGGATATTAGCAATAACCCGGTCGCGAATGGCCATGTAAACACCAGCAAAAACCCGAATATGCTCATTTGCCGGATTTTAAAAACCGGGATATTTTCCCCTTTTCTAACCCGAATTTTTGGTCATGTAAATGCGTATCGGCATATCCCCATAGTGATTTGTGTTCTGCGCATGTTCTATTCACAAGGAACTTTTAGAGCGAGGTCAGTAACGTTACCAAAGCGCAAATAAAGGTGATCGCTATCTGCCCCGAACTATTCATTATCCGCGTGCTGCTGCTGTTGTTGTTGTCTTTGGATACAGGAAGAAGAATCGGAAATGACGCATATTGCATCTTAAGGTTGTCCAGACGCTAACCGCGTGTCGCCGTTTACGTCGGGATATTGCAATTCCATAGCCTGGATGCCAGCCCGAACTCCGCCCACAACATTTTTTGGTCGGGAAGCTCGGTCTGGACTCGATCCATTGAGGAGAAATTATGATCAGGCAAAAAATGAACGGGCCAATCAGATTGCCAGGGCGGGCTTTATATGATGATGGACAGATGATCTGCAACGACGTAATCATCACGTTATCAAAGAGCGCTAACTGATTTCCCTCAGAGATGACTGCAGCTGGAGAATTGAGATGAATAGATTCAGCAGTCGCGTCTTTTGTAAAATAAATCGACAGCGCATTCATTTTAATAGACAAACAGAAAACTGCAATCAAGGCATTTGTCGATCGGAAAGATATTTTTGCCGTCCTTCCTACATGATTCGGCAAAAGTGTAACTTATCAGCTGGCTCTGACGGTCGTTAAGAAGATGGGACGTAATGAAAGCCTGTGGTCGCACTCATGGAGGAGTAAGTAAAAGAAGCAACACTCGTTATTTTACTTCTAATCTAAAATAAGTAACTTCTGTAGTTGAAAACTGCGCTATGCAAAGGAGTTGACTTACTGCGTTGCTCTGATTGGTTGTAGGTCTACCGACTATCCAATTGAGTGCAGAGGTTTTTTTTTTCCTGGTTCGGTTACGACACGCCTCATAATTAAAGCCTAATGGAGGAGTTTCAGACTCGTATTCTCTCTTGAATATGAGTATGACGAAGTCAGGCTAGCAATTCCATGCATACAGGAGAAACTCTCTCTGCTCACGCATGTAAACGGGTTATTCCTAATGTTTCAGAAACCCGAATAGTGACCTTAACCTGACCATAACCCGAAAATTGGCTGCATGTAAACATAGTCACAGAGAGAACTCGTTCATGGTTTATGCGAGTACAGTGAGTTAGAAGTGTTTTGAGGGTGGCGATTTGGGACATAAGCGTGTAATGTGTCCACATAAGGATGAGCAGCGCCCTTCTACATCTCGTGGTGGAGCAGTTAGACAAGAACCAGGAAAAAACACAGGAGAGGAGAGAAACGAGGAGCAAGATAAAAGAGAGGGAGTAGACGAGCAACAGGGTAACTGCAATAGACTAATGCTCAATAGTCACTAAATTAATCACTTAATTATCTCATTAACTTTAACACTCTTGAATGTTAATTTAACACTCATATCTGCATCATATCTTCCATCTGAAATCAGGTGAAGACGATTTACTTATAATCAAGGAACCGGCTTTATTTTAGGCTAAAGTATTTTAGGATAAATATATTACAAGGATCCATTCTTATTAAATAACAAAACTATACAGATTAGGTTATATTTTGAAAATAATAATAATAATAATTCATTACATTTATCTAACGCTTTTCTCGCTTTAGATGGGGGAGTCTCCTCAACCACCACCAGTGTGCAGCATCCACCTGGATGAAAAAAAAATAAGATCTTATGTAAATCGTATTTATTTTCTGTAAAGTTTTCTGCTGACCTTGAGCGCCCTCTTGTGGCTCTAGTGCACCTGCAATAATACAAATGATATTTAAGATTTCAGTGCATGTCACAATGTTTTATTGAAAACATTTTTTTTTGGGATTGCTTATAGGATATTGTTTTTCATATTTTAGTGTTCAGCAACACCAATTGTAAAAGCTGTCTCAAGGTTTAGGTAACTGAAAGTCGTGTCAAGGATTGTATGTGGTGTAAGCAACTGAGACGTCCAAGTTGTGCAGGTTTATAGCGCCCTCAAGTGACATTTGTAATTTGTCATGTCCGTTTAACAACTTCAGTGTAGAAATGATTGGTTTATCAAGGTAAATGCTGTCATAGTGTTTTGATTTATAAATTAATTTAGTAGTTGCACAGTTCACAGTGTATTGAGCAGCATATTATCTGCAAAATCAAAAATTTAAAAGAAAGTCAAAGAAACAAGTGTGAAGTTTTCATGTCATTGTGTATTTTGTGTGTTTAAGAAGTTAAAGTATAATAAATGTGAGCATATAATCAGCAAATCAACAGAGACACTAACCCGTCTCCTAAAGCTGAAGTCACATGACCATATGAGTTTTTCAACAGGAGGTTTTGCAGAAAGAGCTGCACTTTCACTCTGTGCCATTCAGAGAGAACACAGCAGAGAAACCTGAGAGACGACGACACAATAACAATGATTTCAACACAGAAAGGTCTGTATAAAACCTTTTAACAACACTGATACTCCTGTTTTTTTACTGTTAATCTAGAAAAAGATCCTTTACGGGAGTGATTCAAAATAATCTTATAAAGAAAACATGCAATGTTTTTATTTAATATTATGTATTTGACTAATTTGTGGCGTTTTTAATTATCAAACAATATCTGCTTATTTCATAACTGTCTCACATCAACAATAATCTTTGAATAATACTAGTATCCAAACAATGTATTTAGCAGTTTACACTTAACAGTAATTAGTCTAATGTGGAAAGATTTGTCTTTTCAAAATTAATGCTTATATCATTGATAATTTTGTGCATGGCAAATGTTGACTAGCACAGATTTACAAAAGGAGAGAGATTCAAGCAAAAAAAAAGGCCATTTACACAGGAATTATATTGAATTTAGAAAGAAATATTTTAGGGAACGTAAAGAAGACAAACCAAAAAAAGCTGCAAAATTTCCAGTGTGAAGTAAAGTTTCAAAGAAGAGCCTATTTCCGCATGATTGGTGTTATGTGTTCTGTCCTTTTTCTGTTATATTTTATTTTGTATTCTCTGAGGACAGACTATAGTGAAACCTTTTATCCTTTTAAACTACACTGACTTCCAGTACACAGCAAAATCCCCAGTGTGAAACTAACACTGTGTACATGTGTCCACTACAGGGTGTTAAAATGAACACTGAAGCAGTGTTGAAGATTAATGAGATAATTAAGGGATTAATTAAGAGATGATTGAGCATTGTTGAAGATACCTGATGTTAACAAGCAGAATCACTGAAGGAAAAAGAACATTATTGCATGTATAATTACCAGTTTTACTTTATTTCTGTCATTCATCTACACAGTCTTATTTAGATTTAATAGTAGTTTAGATGGAGATGTTTTATGGAATGATTTGTCAGGTCACCATTGTGGTGATCAGTGTTTGATTTGGTTGGGCTCTTGACCCTTTACTTTTTAACAGTAGTTTTTCTCTGGCTACTCCATCTCTGTGTTTATAAAGCATATTTGTTGTGGCAAGAGAAGCTATTACCTGGCCTGTGTTTCTTGAAAGTATTGTAAGCCTATTTTGATCATACCAAACATTTATTGCATTTGTGCTACGATCAAATTGTGCTTAAGATGTTTATGGGCAATGCAGCCCAGGTCATGATAGTTATATGTCAACAGTGAAATTACTACATGTACTGTCCTAATTCATTGATCTTACACAGATTTATAAACTGATTATATAAATGTTCAATTCATTGTTCATTGCGGTAATTAAATACAGTGATACTTTAATCATCTGAAGGTTTAAAAATCAAGAATCTAAGTATGAATCTCAACAATGGTGACAATCACACAAATGCTTCATGTTGCAGCGCATGATGGGCTCCACCAATCAAAACGCATCTATGCCTCACATCATGCATTACAGCATGAATAAATTATGCATAAATTATTATCATTTTTTTTCTGTTTGCTTTTATTTTGCTATTGTTTTGTTATGACTTTAGTAGCTTGTTGAAATTCATATGCTATTCGTGTAACCACGAGCTTCTGCGCACAAAGTTTTTTTTTAATTTTGTATTGCTTATATTGCTTTTGGATCACAAACTGTAATCTCAGGGACATAATCACCAATACTAAAATGAGACATCAAGCATATAGTCAAAGATTTAGACTCAGGTCACTACATGATGATGATCATCTTAAAAACATACCGTGATCAAATCATGGTTTCTCTAATGGTAGCAAATATGCTTATAAACTGTTAGAACAGTTTGAGATAAACCAATTAAAAAATAAAAAGGGTTAAGAGCCCAAGTAAAGCAAACACTGACCACCAAAATGGTGACTTGAATTGAAAAACTCCATAAAACATTACCTTACATTACCATCTAAACTTCTGTTGAATCTCAAAGACCTTGTAGAATGACAGAAATAAAGTCTAATTGGTTAATAATAAGTGTAATATTGGTAATGGCTCAAAGTCAGTTGTAGTTACAGTTTTTCTCTATTTTCTTTTCTTCTTGTTTCTCTTTCCCTTTTCTGCTTAATTCTGGTTATTAACATTAGGTGTCACAACAAGGATTATTATTGTCACCATGGTTGAGATACACGGGCTGATTATTGATGTCTGTTTCTAAATCAAGATAGAAGTGATTTTGATCAGAATAATTTTATTAAATATTATAGGTTTTAAGAAAAATTTGGATATGGTGTACAATCACTAAACTGTTGCTAACAAGTTAAGCCAATTCATCTGAAATGTTTCATTTTACAGACAACTGCATGATTCTGTTAAAACATAACCAACACTATCAAACCACACTTTTCTTTGTTCATTTGACTATTATTATCAATAACAGCAGACAAACAAAATTTAAAGTGAAGGTATAAGTGTCAAGAACCCAACTAAAGCAGACACTGATCTCCATAACGGTGGCTTACAATTTGTGATTTTCCCCTTCAGTGATTCTGCTTGTTATCATCAGGTGTCTTCAATAATGCTCAATCATCACTCAATTAATCACTTAATTATCTCATTAACTTTAACACTCTTGAATGTTAATTTAACACTCATATCTGCATCATATTGTCCATCTGAAAGCAGGTGAAGGTGATTTACTACTAATCAAGGAGCCGGCTTTACTGATTAGATGCGCATAACAATATCGTGCGATATATCGCCCAGCCCTAATGTACACTGAGAAGTGTTAATTTAACACTGGGCATTTTGCTGTGTAATGTTGTTAATATTTATACTTCCCATAATTTCCATTTGATTCACAGGAATGTATGTTTGTGTGTACATGTTAAGACACTCTTTTTATCTTTGTAGTGCGTGATCTGAGGATCGTTCTTCTGGGTAAAAGTGGATCAGGAAAAAGTGCCACAGGAAACACCATCCTGGGCAGAGAGGCGTTTGAAGTTGTGGATTTCATAAAGTCAGCCAATAAATTGTGTGAGAAACAGGAAGGAAAAGTGGGTGGAAAGACCGTCTCTGTAATTGACACTCCAGGACTCTTTAATACAGCAGTGACAAAACAGCAAATGAAGAATGAAATACAGAAGTGTATATTCATGTCTGCTCCGGGTCCTCATGTGTTTCTGCTGGTGCTAAAGCTGGGTGTGAGATTCACACAAGAGGAGAGAGATGCAGTCAAATGTATTCAGGAGAACTTTGGAAAAGAAGCTTTGTGTCGTACTATTATTCTGTTCACTCACGCCGATCAGCTGAAGGGAACGCCTGTGGATGAGTACATCAATAAAAGCAACAATTTAAAGGAAATCATTGCCAGCTGTGGAGGCAGATATCACTCATTCAACAACGAGGACAGAGAGAGTAAAGAACAAGTCGCAGAACTGATGAAGAAGATCGATGCAGTGATGGAGGAAAATGACATGAATCATTACACATTTGAGATGTTTAAAACAACTCAGAAAAAGAAAGCGATAAACATGACAAAGGCTGCATGTGGCATTGCAGTGCTGGGAATTGGATTTCTAGGGACAGTGAAAATAGCAGGCATGATAGCAGCAACAGCAATTTCAGGAGGAGCAGCTGTAGAAAAAACTGCAGAAAGTGTATTGCCAGCCACTGGAGAAGCTGTAGATAAAGTTATGGCTGCTGTAGATAAACTTATAGCTGCTATAGAAAAAGGATTAAAAACGGCAAGTGAAGCAGTTACAAAAGAAGCAGTAGCGGCTGTAGAAAAAGCAGTAGAAAGTGCAGGAGAAGCAGCTGCAAAAAAAGCAGAAGAAACTCTAAAAAAAGCAGTAGAAAGTGCAGGAGAAGCAGCTGCAGCTAAAGCAGTGTCAGCTATAGAAGCAGCAGCCGGAGAAGCAGTGCAGACATCAGGAGCAGGAGTCGCCGGAGTCGCCGGTACGGCTCTGGTTTCGGCGGTGTGCGCAGGAGCAGCGAGAGCGGCAGCAGCTGCAGGGAAAGTGGCCACATCTGGAAGAGTATCTGTAGTGGCTGCAGTGGCAGCAGCAGTGGGAGGTGCAGCTGTTACATTAATATCAACATTCAAAAAGTAAATGTGTTTGTCAGGTACTTACAACTCTTAAGTTTTAGATTTAGATGAACACACACAGCAAAATCCCCAAAACACTTTGAGTGTGGACATATAAATGCTGAAGCAGTGTTAAAGTTAATGAGATAATAAAGTGAATAATTGAGTGATGATTGAGCATTATTGAAGACACCTGATGTTTACAAGCAGGAGAAAACCGGAATTTTAAGTCACCATTATAGAGATCTGTGTTTGCTTTAGTTGGGCTCTTGACCCTTAAATCATTAACTTTAGATTTTGTTTGGCTGCTGTACAAATCTAACAAATAGAAAAGGTGATCTGATAGTGATGGTTGTGTTTTAACATAATCATTATTATACAATCAGTTTAACTTATTTAAAACCCAAATAAGGTTTACTTTATCAATTATAACACTACTATTGAAACTTTTATAAAGTAATCCAAAGAAATTTTTATACATGTTTCATATACAAAAAAAACAAAAACATTTTTTGATTTGTTTGATATAGTTTTTAGACACAAAGACATCAAGAATCAGCCTGTGAATCTCAACAATGATGACAATTATAAAGCACGTTGCAGTGCATCCCGGTTGCCACCAATCAAAACTCATTCATGGCTCCCATCATGCATTGCTGCGTGAATAAATAATGAGCTTATGTTCAGAGGTGATCTGTTTGTCACCATTGCTGAGATTCATACGCTAATTATTGATGTCTGTGTGTGCCAACATAATATTTTTGTAAAGTTTATAAAGTTTTCTTTTTGATGCCATACAAGGCATACATAATTAATAAAGTAAACCTAACTCAGAAATTGGCTCATATATGAGATCAGTGATTCAGGTCAAATGATTGTGAAATAATGATTGTTAAAACACAACCATCACCATCAGATCACCTTTTCTATATGTTTATCTAGCTGTTATAACTCACACACAACAGCCAAATTAAATCTAATCTAAAGTTAATGATTTAAGGGTCAAGAGCCCAACTGAAGCAAACACTGATCTCCATAATGGTGTCTTAAAATTACAGTTTTCTCCTTCAGTGATTCTGCTTGTTATCATCAGGTGTCTTCAATAATGCTCAATCATCACTCAATTATTCACTTAATTATCTCATTAACTTTAACACTGCTTCAGTTGCTACATGATGTTGCTGTCTAGGGGGTGTTACACGGAATAAACTGTGTGTATCATATGCACGGAAAAACTAGTTTGTGTGGTTAAATTGCATGTTAAACACAATGAGATCATGCTGGGCTTATACTATTGAATCAAAACTCAAATAATTTAGATGTACTGCAATAGAAATTAATTCATAACTTTTTAATCAAGTGCAATGTGTGACTCTGTTGCTTAAAATGTAACTATATTGATGTTTTACTCTTGAACACTGATAAATATTTTGTTTAGTAATGCTTTGTATGTTGCTTTTTGTGAAATTTCATGACGTTTCTGTAATCTGCTTTTGATTTGTTTCTCTCAGCTTTCTGCCCCTTATTGTATGATTTTCCAATTCCTTATATACTTATATGCTTCTCGTCTGTAGATCCTCAATGCATTTGTCTTTTTTCCAGAATTTCATGCAACACATAATCAATTTCACAAACAAAACTACAGTTAATTAATCCAAGAAGTATTTGAAGGATACTTCAATAATTCACTAATTGAATGATTTAGTTTTAGGTTAAGCTTTAAAATGGTATAGTTGTTCAATTTAATGTTGTTCAAATGTGTGTCATTAAACATACCTGAAATAAAAACAACACATGTCTTTTCCTTTTTCACTTGTTTTATTTGTATTCAGTGAGGTTGTCACCATAGTACAAAGCTCCCAGCATGCTCTGCATCATGAAGCTTTTCATTGTCACCATTGTTAAGATTAACACACTTATTGTATGAATGTATGTATAAATGGATGATGCAAGACCTCGAAATTCTGTTGATCTACAGGTATGCTATTATTAATAATAAATATTAATTACACCACACTGGCTTAATCAGAGCGACCACTTAAAGCGATCACATTTAACTTAAATCAACCGACCACATTTTCTAGTGCCTTATTTTGCCATAACAACAAGATGACTTGACTTAGTTAAGTTGAGTCAACTAATCTTTTTTTTACAGTGCAAATGTTAAAAAGTGTCCCTTGAGATGTTTTTGAACTTTAGAAAACTTTGTGGGTTTGAAATATGCACTCTAAAAAGAGATGTGTTAAAAAACAACACACAACATGTGTTGATGGTATTTTGACACGTCATGTAGATTTTTAACACACAGTGTGTGTTAAAATGCAACTGGATAGAATTTGCACTCATGACTTAAGAGTCATGAAACTGCCTTAAAACACGTTCCTCTAACGTCAAGAAACCTGGACATTTTTCACGTTCCCAGAACCAACACTGAATATTTGGAGAATGTTCTTGTAACAAAATTCTGTTAGCTGGGCTATGAAAGTAAAACTTACTTATTTTACTTACAAATAACATCAGGCTCTTTGCCTTTGCCTGTTTGCATATGCTCTCAATAGTACAAAAAAAACAAAAAAAACAAACAAGGCAAAATAAAGCTAAAGAACCAAATCACAAAATAACGCAAGTCTATCTTGTCAAGAAACTACACCTGTATTGATGGAATTAACTAAAGTAATTTCCTTCAGTTAAATAACATTCAACATCATTGTATTATTGTTGACTTCTAAGAAATATACAATACAAACATTGAAAGATTTTGTTGTTGCATCCACTGATGTCATTTTGCATACAGTTTTGTAAATGCTTTGTATATGAGTAATGTTATCTCAGCTGCTATTTTGTTCACTTTGTTTTCTTTAACTCGAGCATTTGTCTAAGCATTTGGTTTTCTTTCCAGTACGTTTGTTCTTTTGTTAATAACAATCTGGAGTTAGTCCTATAGCACAATGCGTTTTTATACGTAAGCAATATTGGTCTTGTGGCTTGGACATATATTTCATTTACATTTTACAGCCAAACTTTTCAAAAGACTGTTTGTGGAGGACTTTCAGGATGTTGAGAAATAGTTTATGGATATGGAGTCATTGTTAGATTTGATTCTTTGATTTGGATGAGAAAAAGAAATGCTGCTGAGCTGTACATGTTCAAATCAGTTTTACTTTCGATTTCTCAATAAGTAGAAGGGAATTTTTTATTTTATTTAACTTAGATCCTCTTAAACCTCAAATCAATCTTTTGGTTTGATACACCAAATGTACAAAGCAAATACTTTTATTTTCTGATGAATTGGTATTCATAATCATTACTTTTTGGCTCTTTTGAACATGAACAAATTCAGGAACTCTTTTCTATAAAAACAAAACAAACAATATGCAACTTTGCAACTGAGATTGTTAAGGTAACAAGTAAAAGTAAAAGTAAAGTAAACTCTGAGCTGAGTGTTAAATGAACACTGAAGCAGTGTTAACGTTAATGAGATAATTAAGTGAATAATTGAGTGATGATTGAGCATTATTGAAGACACCTGATGTTAACAAGCAGAATCACTGAAGGAGAAAACCAGAATTTTAAGTCACCATTATGGAGATCCGTGTTTGCTTTAGTTGGGCTCTTGACCCTTAATTCATTAACTTTAGATTTTGTTTGGCTGCTGTATGTGAGTTATAACAGCCAGATGAACAAACAGAAAAGGTGATCTGAAGCATGGTCATTTTAAACGTAACATTTTTAACCTTTTCAATGGAATCCAAACCAAAAAAGTATTTTATGTAAGCTCACACAGACATCAAGACTTAGCCTATGAATCTCAGCAATGGTGACAAACAGATCACCTCTGAACATAAGCTTATTATCTATTCATGCTGCAGTGCATGATGGGAGCCATGAATGAGTTTTGATTGGAGGCACCCAGAATGCAATGCAACATGCTTTATAATTGTCACCATTGTTGAGATTCACAGGCTAATTATTCATGTCTGTGTGTCTTAAAAAATTTTAAAAAAAACTTAAGAAAAATATTTTGAATACATTGTAAACGTTAAAAATATTATGCTGTACAAAGTCACTGCTGCTATAATTAATAAAGTAAACCTAACTCAGAAATTAGGCTCTATATGAGTTCAGTGATTCAGGTCAAATGATTGTGGGATACTGATTATGTTAAAACACAACGAACACCATCAGATCACCTTTTCTATTTGTTCATCTGGCTGTTATAAGTCAAATACAGCAGCCAAACTAAATCTAAAGTTATTGATTTAAGGGTCAAAAGCCCAACTAAAGCAAATACTGATCTCCATAATGGTGACTTAAAATTACGTTTTTCCCCTTCAGAGATTCTGCTAGTTATCATCAGGTGTCTTCAATAATGCTCAATCATCACTCAATTATTCACTTAATTATCTCATTAACTTTAACACTGCTTCAGTGTTCATTTAACATTCTGCTCTTTATATAACTCACACTTTTAAGTGTTAATTTAACACTGTGGATTTTGCTGTGAATTGTATAAAAAAAAAATCAGCTTTTTGTTTGAAGCTGAGTAAGATTCTGATATTGTGATACATTCTGCAATATATACATTATATACATACATTCATATATATATATATATAATTTTAATTTTTTATTTTTTTCCCCTGCTGTGTCACCATGTTAAATAGTCCAATCACAAACCTTGTTTGCCAAGTCAGCTGAACAGTGAGACTCTGAATGCCTGAAACGAAATGAGATAGTTTCACTTTCCTTCTTTAGCACGACTCTGCTTTGTGTTTTTCGTAATTTGCCTTATCCACAAACTCAATTTTATTTTTTCACAACACAGGTAAGGCACACTAATTACACCAATAAATAATTACAAATATTATTAAGAACATTATTATTGATCATGCAAATAGCTGCCAAGCCTTTCACATTACATCAAACCTCAACAAGAGCATTCATTAACAGTTCTTCTCATTTCATTTAGGTGTTTTTCTGTTGAAGACTGAAATACAGAACAGACTGAGAAATGGCAGGTCCATGTCCAGGTGAGCTAAAACCTTCTTCCATAATTCTATTTTCTCTTAACATTCATGCAAAGATATCATTCATGCTAGAGAATGTTTGAGTTTTCTAAACAAATAAAAAAAATATGTTGTTTTAATCAGTGGTAATAAATAAAGAAGGTCTGATATGTTTGGTGGTGAACATTTAGAACATTTTTCTTGAAGAAGAATTGTAATTATTCTTCAAATATCAATAATAAAGTAGACATTTAATGCATTTATTCCCACCACAAAGTATAAAATCACATTCGAAAGTATAAAGTATAAAAATGAAAACCAGCACAATTATTTTGATAATGCATATACACTGTAAAATCTAATTAGTTTGACGTACTTAAAAAAGCATGCCAACCCATTGCTTTAAAAATAAGTAAAGTAAAAATAGATATAGGATGTAGTACTGCCAAATTCTTAGTCAGTATAGTTCACTTACACAAGAGTTCTAGTAACTAAAAATGAACTGATACTTGATAATTTACTTCCAATAAAATGTAATTGTTACCATTGTTGTGCATACTGAATGTTGAAGTCTGTGTGTGACTCAAGGATGGTCAACTGCAAGATATTGTCACAAATATCACAAAGAGAGATTATATCAACCATGTAAAAAAAAATCACAAGTCATTTATGACATGTGTTAACAACAAAGTATTAAAAAATCATTATTTTACAAGACATATAGTTTTGTTACACACACACACACACACAAACACACACACACACACACACACACACACACACACACACACACACACACACACACACACACACACACACACACATGTATTACTTCTCGTCCTTTGGAATAGATAAGATTTATTGCTACATGAACAGTAATCTAATTATAATAATATAAATGAACTTCCAAGTACCAAAGCATTTTTTTTAACATCAAATTATGAAGTCAGCTTATGTGATGTCCTCTCAAATGTTTCAGCTGTGCTGAAATTTTCACATTCAAGATGACTTTGGAAAATTAGTGAATTAAACTAGAAGTGGAGGAAATTAGTGAAATAACTATTAAGAATTGCCCCGCCTCAAAAAGTATTTTTTGCTTGACATAATGGCACTCACACCAATCAATTAATCTTAACTTGTTTTTTCTGAGTATAACAAAAGCATAGTATGTGAATAGTACAGATTATATTTTTACAATTAAGTTAAGAACTCACATACTACTTCAATGAGCTTATTGTATCTGCATTCAACTATTACAATGTTTAAATTAATACATTTTCAGCAAACTGTGACTTTGTATATGTACATTTCTGAAATACTTGCAGTGTAAAAAGAAATATTCTATCAATATTCTATATTAAAACTGTGGCAAAAGATTACAAGCAATATAATTAATCAAATTTAACAAATAAGAATTAAGTTAGAATCAAATTAATTCTTAAAAAGTCCACCATTTAAAATGAGTAAAATTTAAACAAAAATATCTGAATAACAGACAGGTGACAACAATGAATTAAGAACTATTTATTTTTTATTGCCAACAATGAAGACCTTTATGGTGACCACATATTTTCACTAAACCACTGACATCTAAACTTCTGTTAATTCTCAAAAAGAAATCGTCATCAAGAAAAAGTCATAGAGAGACTTAATTTGTTTTCTGTTGATTTAATCTAAGACTGTGGCTGAAGTCAGTTGTGGTTATTGTGATTATCTTTCCTTCTGTGATTCTGCTTGTTAACAGCTCATGATAACAATAAAAAAACAATAGCAATAAAAATAAAGAATTCTAAATTCATATTTAACGTCTGTCTGTTATTCAGATATTTTTGTTAACATTTTACTCATTTAAATGTTTGACTTTTAAGGAATTAATTTGATTAATTATTACTCTTATTTAAATTTAATTAATAATATTGTTTGTAATCTGTTGTTGAGTAGATATAACGTAGAGAGAATCATTGTTGGATTGTATAGTGTAGGTATATGTATAGTAACGAAGTAGAACTACTTAAGTACTGTACTTAAGTACTAAAATCCTGTATCTGTACTCTACTAGAGTATGTTTTTTTTTCTCATACTTCTACTTTTACTTCAGTAGATATTTCGATGAATTTAATACTTTTACTTCAATATTTTTTAAATGTTCTGCTAGTTACTTGTTACAATTATAAAAAAAATTTCGAATCATTCATTGCAAGTTGGCTTTCATGCTGCCTAAATCGCACACCAGTTTTATAGGGTAATGGTATTGATTGACTCACACATTAACAACTAATGCAGGGGTTGTCCTGCAATGACATTTTTTGGCCGCCAAAGCAAATTTGTATCCCGCCAAAGCACCTTATTTGATTGCTACTTCAAACTTTTGACTGCTTTCTTTAATAATTAAATGACACAATACTTGTACAGCACTTAAGTAGTGAATTTTAAAATAAACTTGCAATTCTTAAGTACAAAAAATGTTGAATACTTTAGTACTTCTACTTAAGTGCGCTGCTTAAAGAGCACTTCAACTTTTTTGATAGAGCACTTGTACTTTTACTCAAGTCCGGGTTTCTAGTACTTTATACATCTCTGATATTTACGTATATTTACTTTTAATACACATTAATCATATTCATATTTATATTATCCAACAAAATTCATATTAATCCAACAGATCTGAGGATTGTGTTGCTGGGTAAAACTGGATCGGGAAAGAGCGCAGCAGGAAACACCATCCTGGGTAGAGAAGCGTTTACATCGAAAGACTCTCTGATTTCGGCTTCAATGATCTGTGAGAAACAAGAAGCAGTTGTGAATGGACAAACCATATCAGTCACTGACTGTCCCGGTCTGTTTGACACTTCAACCAACCAAAAAAAACTTAAGATTTTAATAGAGGATTGTATCTACCTGTCTGCTCCTGGTCCTCATGTGTTCCTGCTGGTTTTGCGATTGGGTGTGAAATTTACAGAGGAGGAGAAAAATGTTGTAAAATGGATTGAGGAGAACTTTGGAAAAGAAGCTGTAAAGTACACCATTGTGCTGTTCACTCACGCTGACGTCCTGAATGGTAAACCTGTAGAGCAATACATCAGCAAAAGCAAAGATCTACAGGATCTAATTCAGAAGTGTTATGGCAGATACCACGCATTCAACAACGAGAATAGAGATGATCGAGATCAGGTCACAGAACTGCTGAAAATGATAGAAAAAATGGTCAGTTTTAATGGAGGGAAGCACTACACTAATGCCATGTTTAAAGCAGCTCAAGAGAAGATTAGGAAGGAACAGATGATGCTAACAGAAGCTGGAATGAGAGGACTAGCAGTAGCGGGAGAAGCGATGGCAGGAGTTGTAGCTGCAGGGGCCAGAGGAGGCGCAGCTGCGTTTTCTGCAGTGGAAGCAGCCGCCGAAGCAGCAAAGAAGTATTTAAAGGACTAGAAACTTTACATGAAATTCGGCACTCTAGTCTAGAATATTGTTTTATAAGACTTGCTAGCTCTTTGGGATGGGCTTCTATAACTGATATACACACATACAGACCATCGAAAGAGAATAGAAATACAGTTTAATTATTAATTTTCAAAAATACTATGCTATATTGATCTGGTTGGGGGACTCGAGTTACATGAAGATATTCTTGTAGTAAATTTAAGAACTTGTGATTGATTAAATGAGCATAATGACTTGAGAACCAATGGCTTGGGTAACACAGTCTCATCCCAAAAAGTCATATAACTGACGTCTTGGGACGTCTTTTGACCATACGTCAATATCCGCCTTTTTAGGGCCCCCTTAAACGTCGGTAGATGGCGATCCCAGGCCGTCATACAACTGACGCTTTACCTTTAACGTTGGTTAGGTGACGGGTTAGGTGACGGGTTAGGTTTAGGTCTGGGGTAGAGTTAGGATCCCGTAACCTCATCTACCGACGTTTAAGGGGGCCCTAAAAAGGCGAATATTGACGCAAAAGACGTCCCAAAACGTCAGTTATATGACGTCTTGGGATGAGACCAGGTTGGCTTGGGACATAAATTGGACTGAACGATTTTATAACAATTGTAATTCAGTAATTATTCCTTAAATCATTGTGACGTCAATTGACTACCTGACCACTGATCAGAGTCTGCCTGATTGAACAACACAAGTACTATAGAGGTTTACCAGTTCTAAATGTTTGAATAATATTTCTATATATATATATATATATATATATATATATATATAAAACAATGTTTTTTATTTTATTATTATTTTCTTTTAATTTGGACTATTTTCATATTATCTGTAATATCATATTAACTGAATGTCCAACCATTCAAAAAAAAGATTTTACTTTAATTAATCTCTATTCAGTTTTTTTCTTTACTACAGTTCATTTTTTTTGTTCTGTAATTAAATAAATCTTAAGAACATCAACACACATTTGTTTGTTTTTACTATGTCAAGTTATAATATTATTATAATAATAACCATCACCATCAGATCACCTTTTCTATATGTTCATCTGGCTGTTATATTTCACGAACAACAGCCAAACAACATCTAAAGTTATGAATACAAATATAGGGAGAAAAATAATGGAAAAATCATGAACCGTACTTTGGTATCCTCAAAACTCTCTGAAAGCAAATTCAATGATCCCTTCACCTGTCTGCATATGCTCTCAATAGTACAAAAACAACCAAGGCAAAATAAAGCAAAACAACCAAATCACAAAATAACGCATGTCTATCTAGCTTTTCAAGAAACTACACCTGTATATGCTTAAGTGTATTGATGAAATTAACTAAAGTAATTTCCTTCAGTTAAATAACATTCAACATCATTGTGATATTGTTGACTTCTAAGAAATATACAATACAAACATTGAATGAAATTTTCTTTTTGCCATTTTTGCATACAGTTTTGTAAATGCTTTGTATATGAGTAATGTTATCTCAGCTGTCGTTTTGCTCTCTTTGTTTTCCATAACTCGCATTTGGTTTTCTTTCCAGTGCTTTTGTTCTTTTGTTAATAACAATCTGGAGTTAGTCCTATAGCACAATGCGTTTCTATCCACTTACGTAAGCAATATTGGTCTTGTGGCTTGGACAAATATTTCATTTACATTTTACAGCCAAACTTTTCAAAAGACAAGAAGTTTGTGGAGGAGTTTCAGGATGTTGAGAAAGGGTGGATGGATATGGAGTCATTTGATTCTTTCTTAGATTTGAATGAGAAATAGAAATGCTGCTGAGCTGTACATGTTCAAATCAGTTTTACTTTCGATTTCTCAATAAGTAGAAGGGTTTTTTAATTTTATTTGACTTAGATCCTCTTAAACCTAAAGTCATTATTTTGGTTTGATACACCCAATGTACCCAACTTTAATTTTCGGATGAATTGTTATTCATAATCATTACTCTTTGGCTCTTTTGAATATGAACAAAAGCAGGAACTCTTTTCTAAACAAAACAAATATAATAAATATGCAACTTTGCCATGACTACACATAAAGTACTTGTATTGTTAAAACAAAATATACACTGCAAACAAAAACAAAAAAAAACAATCATAATTACATTAAATTTAGTTTGAAACATATTTATATAGTTTCCTGTAAAAAAAAAAAAAAAATCATAAAAAATCATAAAAAATTTGTCAGAACATGTAAAAAGGACTGTTTTATTTTTTTTTAAATATTAAAACAAATATACACATTTGAAATGAATGCAATATATATATATATATATATATATATATATATATATATATATATCCCTGCTGTGTCACCATGATAAATAATCCAATCACAAACCTTGCTTGCCAGCTCAACTGAACAGCCAGACTCTGGATGCCCAAAACAAGATTAGATAGTTTCACTTTCCTTCATGTTTTTCATAATTTGGCTTATCCACAGACTCAATTTCATATTTGCACTATCCAAGTTGAAAAAGAAACGTAACAAATACATAAAAAGGGCCATAAATTTAGTGTGTGTGTGTGTGTGTGTGTTAATCGCTTCCACAATTGTGTCAAACATTGGGTTATACTGTGTGACATCTGGTTTAATCTTGATATTGATAGCCATGACATTCCATAGGTTTTGTTTAACATTAAGATGAAATATTTTCAGTAATTTTAAACTGTATGCTACATTAAAAAAAGAAAATGTAATCATGATGTCCAGTCATTTAACATTCATTAACCTGATTGCAAATCAATTATTACCCAGAAGTAATTTTTAGACTTATAATAAGTTTTTCCAAACACAGACGTATAGCATCAACTCTCACCCAAGAAGATGACAATCATGTGTTATAGTAATTTAATTGCAGTACTTCATTTCTAACAAGTTGAACAGACAGTCAGTGTTTACATGGACAATTCAGATATTAAGACAATACTCAGATTAAGAAACTGTAAACAGGGTTTTGATTACTTTAATCCATAGTCTTAAGTAAACACAAATCGAATTTGTAGAGTATTCCTATTTTAGTCGTAATATTGAAGTTCATTATATACATGTAATCACACTATTAAAGTCATGTGGGAGTTTTCGTCACATTTTGCGACAGGACACACACACACAGTAGTCAACTATGGTTTCAGAATTTGTATTCACTCTCGTCTATTTGCACGTGTAGTATGTTTAACTTCACTTTAAGCTTCCGTAAAAAAAAAAAAAAACCTGCCAAAACTGTATGGTACCATAACAAAGACAAACTTTATGTTAATACGGAGGGAACATCGGACATGGTGATGTAATGCCATTAATCAATCTAGTGTATGTTCTATTACATGTAAAATAAGGACATTAAAAGAAAATTTTAAAAGCAATTCTGTAAACAACACAATCCGAATATTGTCTTTTATAGAATAGAGTCAATAATTAGATGACTGCTGTCTGTGTAATCGTATTAACTGTTTCAGCTCACCCCATAATATTTTCTAGATTTGAAGTTCTATAAAATTAAATCATACATCTGTCATCAAATCTAACATATTGGTTGAATGCTGTGGTGGTAACTTTGTGTTAAATGTGGATAAAATGCTTTTAATCAAAGCTGCATAATGGGAAAATCAAACCTTCAACAGCTAATACAATTTTCATTTTACTTTTTGATTTTTCTCACTCCCACTACTACTACTACTACTCCTACACAAACTGCTCCTACAATAAGTGCAGTTTTCCCCCAGTTAGGCTTTTTCTGTGCCTCGTTAAACATTGCATTAGTGTAATGCCTCCCTTCGTTTTTAATCACCAATTCATCCATCTTATCCAGCAGCTCTTTTACTTGATCCTGATTCTCCCTGTCCTTATTGTTGAACGCATGATATCTGCCACCACAGGTCATGACAAACTGTCGTAGATCTGTACTGTCTTCTATGTGTTTCTGCAGTGGTTTACTCCGCAGTCCATCAGCGTGAGTGAACAGAATGATGGTGTGACGAGCAGATTCTTCTCCAAAGTTCTCCTGAATCCAGGTCACCGTGTTCATCACTTGCGCTGTCAATCTGTCGTCCAGTCTGATGACCAGCAGGAACACATGAGGACCAGGAGCAGACATCCTCATGCACTTATTAATTTCTGCCTTCACTTCCTCTTTTTCTGCTGCTGTATCCTGGAGGCCTGGAGTGTCGATTATCGAGATGCTCCTGTTACCTTTCACCATCATTTTTTTCTCAGATTGTTGAGTAACGGACTCTGGACTGAAATCCTCTTCAAACTCATCTTTTCCCAGGATGGTGTTTCCTGTTGCGCTCTTTCCAGCTCCAGTCATTCCCAACATAACAATCCTCAGATTTACTAAAGAGACATATTCAAACGTCATGTTAACTAAACTTTAAAGGTATGGCAGAGGGTGTGATTTTAAGTCACTCACAAATGTGTATGGATTAGAAGGCTCAGAAAGCAGAGCACAACACAGCAAAATCCCGAGTGTGAGAGTGTGACTGTGAATTATATAATCTCTGAGCAGAGTGTTAAATGAACACTGAAGCAGTGTTAAAGATAATGAGATAATTAAGTGAATAATTGAGTGATGATTGAGCATTATTGAAGACACCTGATGTTAACAAGCAGAATCACTGAAGGAGAAAAACAGAATTTAATGTCACCATTGTGGAGATCAGTGTTTGCTTTAGTTGGGCTCTTGACCCTTAAATCATTAACTTTAGATGTTGTTTGGCTGCTGTATGTGAGTTATAACAGCCAGATGAACAAATAGAAAAGGTGATCTGATTGTGATGGTTGTGTTTTAACATAATCATTAATTGACCTGAATCTCTGAGCTCTAAACTTTACCTTATGGATTTTAGCAGAACGGTCATAATAGAACATACATTTTTTTACCCTTTTCATTGAAATGCAAACTGTATATATATATATGTATATATATATATATATATATATACATAAAATGTAGGCACACACAGACATCAAGAATTAGCGTATGAATCTCAACAATGGTGACAAACAGATCACCTCTGAACATAAGCTCATTATTTATTCATGCAGCAATGCATGAGGGGAGCCATGGATGAGTTTTGATTGGTGGCACCCAGAATGCAATGCAACATGTTTTATAATTGTCACCATTGTTGAGATCCACAGGCTAATATTTGATGTCTGTGTGTCTTCAATTGTTAATAAATTGTATAAGAGAAACTTTTAAGAAATTATTTTGAATACATTGTAAACATTGAAAATATGTTGTATAATACCACTGCTGCTATATTTAATAAAGTAAATCTAACTTTAAAAGAAATTAGGCTTTATATAAGTTCAGTGATTCAGGTTAAATTATGGCGAAATAATGATTCTTTTAAAATGCAACCATCGCATCAGATCACCTTCTCTATATGTTAATCTGGCTGTTATAACTCATGTACAGCAGCCAAACAAAATTTAAAGATTTAAGGGTCAAGAGCCCAAATAAAGCAAACACTGATCTCCATAATGGTGAATTAATTGCTGATTTCTTATTTTTAATCTATTTTTCCACATGATTACGTATCATGATTGACTAATTTATTACTTTATCTGTTCCCAGGTCATGCAATCAAATGCTTTCTTGCCTCTTTTACATTTTACCTCTGAAGAAGATCAGGTTTTTCAGTTGCTGCGCTAGAAAAAAAATCAGACATGCTTTCTCAACTAGTTTAATTTCTCAAATGACGGAGGATCATGTGACCCCCATTATTTTCCAATCTATTCGATTTTTTTTGTTATTGTAATTTTTTAACAATCAAACAGCTTTGCTAAGAAATAAATACAGCGTTAACTGTTATTTTGCCGTTTAGTAATCACACACTTTGTTAATGCCCAGATTAATTAGGTGATTTACTGACCTGTTATTGGTGGTGCCATTTTCTAGAAATTCTCCTTTTCTGTTTTAGATGCTCAACGATCACTTTAATTTCACTGCTCACTGCTTTTTCTTTCTATGCCTTGATCTTGATGAATGTCAAATGACAAATGAAAGGACGGACAGACAAAGTGTTCAGGTTAACTCCCCGTATTTGAATATATGTGATCACATGACCGCAGCTGCAAATGTGTTTCAACATTTTAGAGGTATTGTCACTGATAATGTTACACTCTAAAATGATAATAATAAAAAGTGTCATTGTCATTCTAAATGGAAGGTTTTAATTGAGATGTATCTTTGACCATTCTAAATTGTCTAATCTATCAATCAGTACATAAAAGTTTTATTTGGTACATAAAACTTCTGTAGATGATTTGTAAGAAGGGAAGGAAAAGCAAAGACCCACTACAGCAGGCAATGATAACGCTTTCAACGGGATAATGGTAGTTAGTTTAGCTGCTAGTTATGAACAAAATTGGTTGTAATAAAATTGCTTTTAAACATGTGCAGTTATTGAGAGTGTATTTTACTCTATACAAGGCAAAAATATTTTGAATTTGGTGACAAACCACAAACTACTAGACAACTCAGAAAAATGGAAAACGACATACTGATAAGATAAAAGGCCACAATAATACAATACTTACAAAACCTAAAGATATAAATGACAGGTTTCTTGATTTTATACTGATCTGTATATATCAAATATCTGTCTGTGTCCATTTTTTTACCAGGATTCAATAAGAAACTCAGTTCTCAGTCAGAAAACAAGACTCTGAACTGAGATCTAAGTTAACATAAGTTTTTATGAATGAAGAAAAAATTGTTACAGGACTTATTTTTCGGGATTATTGTCTCTGACAATAAAGATAATTTTTCGTGTTTTTTAATTCAACCAAATGTTCAAGAGTATTCAGGCTGTTTCGTTAAACAAAAAAAGCTGTGAATTTTTTGTTGTTTCAGTTTTGGATTCAGAAAAACAGGTTTGACCGTTTTGTTCTGAAAAAGAGACTGTGTTTCATGCTTATGCCTCAGACTTAAACCTATGTTTGTGTTGAAAGAAGTGTTTTTGTCCAGAAACTTTTATTTTTGGCTTAATTGTTATTAAAGTGAGATACGTTTCAAATATTGAATTTTATTCTTGGGCAGGCTAAAATAGTGATCTACATTAATAGAAATAAAAATAAAAGGAAAATGAACATAAAAGCAATGATGATGTTATCGTTGTTTTTCTACTTAAAGCAAGAATTTTGATTGATTTTAGATTTAACAAAGATATGTGTGTTCTTGCTACTTTTTTAAATGGTGTAGGCTAGTTGTGATATTTTTTGTACAATTGTTGATGAATAATGAATATTTCTCTTGTTTTTGATTGTGTACATTTAAAAAACAACTAACTGTGAAATTACTGTGGAAGTAAAGTTCAAAATCTGTCTTTTTCTTACATATACACTCACACACACACACACACACACTCATTTGCTCCTTCTCTCTATGTAACGCAGTGTCTGTAGCTCCCTCTATTGACATCTTCATTGAATAAGTTCAGTCCAACACTTACATTTATTCATTTAGCAGACACAAATAAATGTATACTCTGATCTTCAAAGAGATTTAGGGCAGTTTAGAAACCATATCAAAATAAGAACTATCTTTCATCAGTTCCTCAACAACACTGATCATCATAATGGAGAATATTCAACCACTTGGTGTCAGTATAATATAATAATCACATTAGTGTCCATTATCAGAGCACTGGCATTTTCAATAAAATATTACTTCTATAAAAATATTCAATAAAATATTATCACATTATACTACCAAAAAAATAAAATAAATAATAATTAATTCAGTTGTGTCAAGAATTGCTCCTTTGCTGTGTCAATATGTCTTTCTTTTCACGTGGTGATAGTCAGAAAAAAAGAAAACTTTATGGATGACTTTAGTTTTCAAAATGAATCATTACTTAAATAATCTTAATGTGCTCTTTAAAGGCCATTAAACCCACATTTGGTCTTAAAGGGGTTAATTTTAATGATATCATTCATATAAACATATGGACTTTTATGTCAAAAGAGTTTATATGACTGTAGCAAACGATTGGTTGTCAAAATAAAACAAACAAAAAAAGATTGTCAACAAACCCAAATAAAGTCAAATCAATGAGGAAAGAATGGAGAGATTATGATGTGTGTGTCTTCAGTGTTCAATATCATGAGACTTTTCAGCCAGTGCGTAGAAATCACTGCCAGAGGGGCTTGTGGGTAACTGTGTCGTGGCGTAAACAGTGTTTAAACCAATGGACTCCTGAGCAGAGTCCTGAATCGCTTCATAGTGAGGACAATTGACTTCCTGAAAGGGAAAGATTATATTAAATAACATGATAAATAATTATTATCTTTTTAAAGGACTTTTGCAGTTGTACACAAACATGGTTCTACACTGTTTTCAGAAACATGCAGTTTTACCTCATCGCCGTCTCTTGCGTTCCTCTGATCCGACGAGACTGAATCTGTGGATGGACAAAATGATGAAACCATGACATAAAACATTTCATGTTTGGTTTGTTCATAAAACCAGAGGGTTTGAGTTTGTACCTTCTGTCTTCTTCCATCTGCACTTGAACAACATCAAACTCAGTCCTACAGCTAACAACAGGATCACACACGAACACACCGCACTGATGATGTAGAGATCTGAAAAACACACACGTGACAGTAAAAAACTGACATGAAAGTGCCCTCTTCCAACTTCAGTTATGATTGAGAGCTTGTCGCGTTAAAAAAATATGGATATTATACATGCTATTTTTGATGTGCATAACACACTTCAAATGATTAAAAATGTACTGTATGTAAATATGTACTATTTCAATGAAGCTAGCTGATGTGGGAGATATAAGTTTATCTGACGATCCGAAATACAGTGACATGGATGACAGCGAATGTTAGGAAAATATCCTCACACTGACCAATCAAAATCAGAGGAGGCTCATAATAAAATACTCAAAAATGGTAAAGCACTTAACTAGCCAATTACTTCCACTTTGCTTTTCTAAACTGTCATTAATCAAAATGCAGAACAATTCTGTGATATTCTGAGAGACATATGTGTGTTAAAGAACTCACCAGACTGGCCTGAAACATCTGTTTGTTCTTGATTTTCTATTGTCGCCCACATGCAGAAGATAGGTCAGACATCAAAATGACACTGTTTAATTGACATTGCATGTGCATTTAATGTGTAATTTGTTGCTAATTGTTTCTCACCTGAAACATGAAGCTGAATCTCCATGGGAAGGGGAGTGTAGATGATGTTGTTGTTTTCTATCCCACAGAAATACACCCCGGCATCACTTCTTTCCACATCAGCAATAGTCACAGAGAAAACATGTTCCTGCTCGTTTTCTTTCAAAGAAAACCTCTCATTGGTGGCCGAATGTCCAAATGTATGAATAATAGGCTCTAATGATCCATTCTGGACTTTGAACAATTGCTTGCCACGATCTTTATATGTATCTGGATATTTGCATTGAATGACAGCAGTTCCTCCTAAATAAGCGGTCTGATCCTCTGATCTCCCACAACACGACTCTGAAAACCAGAGAATTGTAATTAACAAAGTCTAACAAATCCTGTTCTCAAGAACAAACATTAGATGTTAAACCTAAAGGCCTGACAGAGGAAATGAGTAACATGGTAAATACATATTAATTCATACCTTGTTTCACATTGAAATCCACCGTCTGAATCGTTTGACTGCCGGCTCGACATCTGTACGTCCCGCTGTCGGTTACGGTCAGGTTTCTGATGAATACACTGATCAATATCCGAGATTCACCTTCGATCATAGAGAATCTCTCTTCTGGGATCCATAAATCCTTCTTTACTTCTGTCATGGTTGTACATTCACGGCCAGACACTTTGCAAAAGCTTTTTGCACTTTCTCTTGTTTCATCTCTATATACACAGTTGATGATGATACTTCCTCCTGTGATGCCAGTCATGGTGTCAACAGCGTCGCCCACGTGACCTGTCAATCAAATTCAGTTCCTCTTTAAGAGCCTTACACAGTCATACCAACAAAAATGTGAAAATTCACATATAAAGTGGACAGGCAGAACACGTAATAGCACAATGCTTGATCAGATGGCCAGATGGAGGCCAGAAGTGAGAAGGGAAAAACCTTGGATACGTTTTGAGGATACATTTTTGGGTCACATGGTGGAAGTCACACAATAATTGTCAATAAAAATAAAAATAAAAAACTTTACAATATTAAGATATACATAACATGTGTGTGCACTCAATCCATGCGTAGTCAAAAGCTTACACATGACAATCCTCATGATTTAATATCAGGTGAGTAAATAGGTAAAGTCTGAGATACCGTAATTATAAACGTCTGACCTGTAATCAGGCAGAGAGTGAAGAAGAGGAAGAAGAGGAAGGTCTTCATAATCATGAATGATGAAACTGTGAATCCGCTTGTATTGTTCATCAGTCAGAGACACTGCGAGTTCCTCCGTTGTGTCTGATTTTGTGTTTTTATCTTGTGCTCTTAAAGAGTTTTTAATAAAACTAACAGCTCCACCTCTTCCTTTTTCTCTTCGCTAAACTCTTCTGACTCACTGTGATGAAATACATCCTGTCACTGACACACAAGGGGCTCATAATAACATTCACTGTAATGTTAATGTTAATGTTTAGAGAAAGCGTATACGTTTCAAAAGCTTCTTTGAAAGCACAGTCTTGCCAGTCAGTCACTCTTAAAGATTCATTACAGCCCACATAGCAATTTTTTCTGGCCCAGCTCGGGCCCACAATCACGTTTCCCTCGGCCCAAGTACCGCAAAGAATGACGGCGCTGAAGTGGCCCAGAACTGGATTAAAGACAAGGGTCACACATGGGCAATAACCGGCCAGAATGGCAGCCAATTAATCACCCTTAACTGGCCCTGAAGTGGGTTTTATTATTGGTACCAATTCTAAGTTAACCATTTTAACACCACCCTTTCAAAGCCCAAAACTGAGCCATATCCCAGCTTAATCTTACCCAAACCATGTGAACCCAATCCTCGGCCCAAGTACCGCAAAGAATGACGGCGCTGAAGTGGCCCAGAACTGGATTAAAGACAAGGGCCACACATGGGCCATAACCGGTCCGAATCTCAACCAGTGAATCACCCTTAACTGGCCCTGAACTGGGCCAAAACACATGTTATTATTGGTACCAATTCTCATCCATAAGTTAACCATATCGACACCACCCTTTAACCAGAAACCCCAAAACTGAGCCATAACCCAGTCTAATCTTACCCAACCCAATCCTCGGCCCAAGTACTGCAAAGAATGACGGCGCTGAGGTGGCCCAGAATTGGATTAAAGACAAGGGTCACACATGGGCCATAACCGGCCCGAATCGCAGCCAGTTAATTGCACTTAACTGGCCCTGAACTGGGTTTTATTATTGGTTCTAATTCTAAGTTAACCATTTCAGCACCACCCTTTTAAACCCCAAAACTGAGCCATATCCCAGCTTAATCTTACCCAACCCAATCCTCGGCCCAAGTACTGCAAAGAATGACGGCGCTGAAGTGGCCCAGAACTGGATTAAAAGACAAGGGTCACACATGGGCCATAACCGGCCCGAATGGCAGCCAGTTAATCACCCTTAACTGGCCCTGAACTGGGTTTTATTATTGGTACCAATTCTAAGTTAACCATTTCAACACCACCATTTCAAACCCCAAAACTGAGCCATATCCCAGCCTAATCTTACCCAAACCATGTGAACAAATAAGGCACAGAAAAATTCTATTTTATTAAATTCAAATTTTATTTAAAGCCCCATTATGATGTTTTTTAAATTTTGCTCTCGGGGGCCCCCTACAGTTGGGAAACAGTATTGTCTTTACTACTGTCGTAAAATCTGTCATGGTTACACTAGGGAATACACGCGTGCATTTGTTGACAAGCGATACCCCCGAACTCTGCAGAAGGAAGGAGTTTTCACATCTTGGGCAGACTCCAGTGTTGCGTGCGAAATGTCTTGTAATCTTATGAATAGAAAAGACAAAACGAGATTGGTAAAGACTCATTTTTAGTAAAACAATGAAATTGATGAGGAGGATGAAGATTTCTCGTGGCCCTTATTATGCTTCTGAATGTTTATTAGTTTGTGAAGTCATTTATGTTGTGGTGTTGTACACACCTGTAAACCACTGTAGTTTCCGTGTCCTTGTCATTTGGATTACAGTGACGGCCAGTGTCTTTGATCTACAGACACAGGAAACTTCTGTTAGTTAGTACAGATCCATCAAAGATCTCAATCTGTTTTACATGTTCACACAGTTTAACACCAGAATATGATCATTCACACACAAGCTGGAGATTCAATATCATGACAGAGTCGAGGAAGAAATGCAAATCCACAATCTGTTTCTGCTGACTCACCTGATCATAAATCACTGGATTAAACACAACCGTGGTGAACGACATCAGACCTGAGCAATAGATCAACATTACAGTCTTACTCAGATTGCTGCTTCAAGACTCTTAATTTAATCCAGTTAAATCATCCCAAACCCAACTTGTAGGTAATATTCAGTGTTTTGTTGTGTGCTCAAAAACATTAGAGAAAAGGAATGTGTTTAGTGTAAAATATTACCTTTAGACTTTCTCATTCGCACAGCCAATATAATCAGTGGAACTGCTATCAGGAGTAAAATTAAAGCCTCCGCAGTGATAATGATAATCACAAATGAACCTGAAAAACACAAGAGGAAAACACTGTCCGGAAAACAGTAAGAAGAAAGAGAAACTCCAAATATCCAGAATAGAAACTAATAATCACTAATAACTATTTATGATTGTCACCATTGTTGAGATACATATGATTATGTCTGTGTGAGTCTGAATGGTGCCATAAAGTTCATTTTTAAAAGCATAGTATCTGAAGGTAAATCAAATACATACAACTAAAATTTTGACCAAAATATTTTTCAGTTCCCACTTTTTAAATCGTGATTTTGAGCTTTTCTCGTCCGGAGAGTATAGGGATGTTATACATGCTATTTTCACTGTGTATAAAACATCAAATGCTTAAAATGATTGTTCATATGCGATGTTTAATGATTGTGCCATGTTTAAGTTTATATCATGCTTGGTTTATAAAATTCCAATTTTCAATTTTCAGCACATTACTTTCACTTTACTGTTCTAAACTGTAATATTCTGAGGTATATATATTTGTGCAAAGAGCTCACCAGACTGGACTGAAACATCTGTTCTTGATTCCACTGTTGCCCACATAGAGACAATAGAGCAGAAATCAAAATTACACGGTTTAATTGACATTGCATGTACATTTAATGTGTAAATTGTTGCTAATTGTTTCTCACCTGAAACATGAAGCTGAATCTCCATGGGAAGGGGAGTGTAGATGATTTTGTTGTTTTCTATCCCACAGAAATACACCCCGGCATCACTTCTTTCCACATCAGCAATAGTCACAGAGAAAACATGTTCCTGTTCGTTTTCACTCGGAGAAAACCTCTCATTGGTGGCCGAATGTCCAAATGTATGAATAATAGACTCTAATAATCCATTCTGTACTTTGAACAATAGCTTGCCATGATCTTTATATGTATCTGGATATTTGCATTGAATGACAGCAGTTTCTCCTAAATATGCGGTCTGATCCTCTGATCTCCCACAACACGACTCTGAAAACCAGAGAATTGTAATTAACAAAGTCTAACAAATCCTGTTTACTGTAAAATGAAGTCTCAGGAACAAACATTAGATGTTAAACCAAAAGACCTGACAGAGGAAATGAGCAACATGGTAATTAATTCTTAACTTGTTTCACATTGAGATCCATCGTCTGAACCGTTTGACTGCCGGCTTGACATCTGTACGTCCCGCTGTCGGTTACGGTCAGGTTTCTGATGAATACACTGATCAATATCCGAGATTCATCCTCGATCATAGAGAATCTCTCTTCTGGGATCCATAAATCCTTCTTTACTTCTGTCATGGTTGTACATTCACGGCCAGACACTTTGCAAAAGCTTTTTGCACTTTCTCTTGTTTCATCTCTATATACACAGTTGATGATGATACTTCCTCCTGTGATGCCAGTCATGGTGTCAACAGCGTCGCCCACGTGACCTGTCAATCAAATTCAGTTCCTCTTTAAGAGCCTTACACAGTCATACTTACAAAACTGTAAAAATTCACATATAAAGTGGACAGGCAGAACACGTAATAGCACAATGCTTGATCAGATGGCCAGATGGAGGCCAGAAGTGAGAAGGGAAAACGCTAGATACATTTTAAGGATGATTTTTTTTTTGGGGGGGCCACATGGTGGAAGTCCCACAATAACAAATAAAAAAATAAAAAACTTTACAATATTAAGTTCTGCTACAGGACATGATACACCACAACACTCTGGGATAGCAAACGCACAATACATGATAGACTGAAACGCTACATATCTGTGTATGACGGACCATGTTAACATGTGTGTATACTCAGTCCATGCGTAGTCAAAAGCTTACACATGACAATCCTCAAGATTTAATATCAAGTGAGTAAATAGGTAAAGTCTGAGATACCGTAATTATAAACGTCTGACCTGTAATCAGGAAGAGAGTGAAGAAGAGGAAGAAGAGGAAGGTCTTCATAATCACGAATGATGAAACTGTGAATCCGCTTGTATTGTTCATCAGTCAGAGACACTGCGAGTTCCTCCGTTGTGTCTGATTTTGTGTTTTTATCTTGTGCTCTTAAAGAGTTTTTTTAATAATACAAACAGCTCCACCTCTTCCTTTTTCCCCATCGCTAAACTCTTCTGACTCACTGTGATGAAATACATCCTGTCACTGACACACAACAGTTAAACCTGTCATGAATTCACAGATTAGTGAAAGTAGTCTTCAACAGTTTATATACAGGATTTGTCAAGAGCAGAGAACAGAGGCATCAAGTCTTTTTCAACAACTTCTAAAGAGCCGGCCATCTGCCCTAAAACAAGCAGAGCTAAACAATACAAAAAAAAAAAAAACAGTAGCGCCTCCTAGTGAAGCTCACTGCAATAATCATTCGATCATTCAAAACAACATGTTTAATGCTTAAACAGAAGGTGGCGATCTCAAACAGAACAAGTGCAGTATAAAAACGAAATGATCAGAAGTCAAACACGGACTAGTTAAAGCTGATTCTGCATAGTTTCCCTGTAACTATGAATATAAAACACCTGATCATTTAGAGACCTGTATAACACACACACACAGTTTATGTATAATACAGACATGATAAGAACAAGGAGCATGATTATTCATTCAGCACGCATTAATATCTCAGTCTTATAACTGATATGGCACCTTATTTCATAGTTATCTACACTGTAAAAAAATATTTTCAAGATTTGTTATCACAACATATTTTCTTTTGACAAATCAACGTTATAATAATTTATTTAGTTGCGATAATGTATTATTTTGAGTTTCTGATGATTAAATCAATCTCCTTCATTGTATTAGCTCACTTTTTCCAGTTCAATCAACTTAAAATTTTAAGGCAACCCAGGTTACTTACTTTTTTAAGTTAAACCATCAATATTTTTTTTACAGTGTAGTAATCACAACATTTTTTTTTCTTTTGTCAAATCAACTTAAATAATTTATTTAGTTCAGATAACATATAATTTTGAGTTTCTGATGATTAAATCATTCTTCTTCATTGTATTAACTCACTTTTTCCAGTTTAATGAACTTAAAAATTCAAGGCAACCAGGTTACTTACTTTTTTAAGTTAAAACATCAATATTTTTTTACAGTGTATGGTCAAAATGACTAACTATAGTAAATCGATGAATGTCCGACAGTAAACACAGTGCAGATCAAACGTTACATTCAAACAAATGCTACTTGAGTGATCCTCACAAATAACTTCCCATGAGTAATCGCAAGCGTAGCTCATTAAGTTGAACATATTCATTACTGTGAACATATTCCACGAATCACAAACTCACACAATACTTCTTGTTTTGATTGTAAATTGGGCATGTGCTGTCTTTCTTTACAATAAATGGCTATTGATTTAACATTTGCTATGTGAATTGGCAATCATAGTTAAGTGCCAACATCATTTTGGGAGTCACTGTACACATTAAATAATGTGTCTCTGTAATAATGACCATAAAGAGCGACACAGTCCAGTTATAATCTCACTGAACTAGTTGAGTCTGTTGCAGGGACTGACCGTGCTGTAAATCTCCTCGTTATTGAACACGACTTTAGCGTCCCTGACAGACTCTTTGTGCTTGTGGAAACGCACAGACGCGTACAGGATCCCATCAGAGGGGATTGTGGGTAACTCTAATGTGGAATATAGCGTGTGGTTTGGATCAGAAATGTCTGTGGAAAGTTTAGCGTTGGAATATAACACATCGTCCCCAGTTCCTGAGACTGAGCGCTGTCTGACGTCTCTGATATTCTCATAGACACACACAGCCTGAGGCGCCTGAAGACCAGAGATAAAAACTAGATTCAGTTCAGGAAATAACACGCAGATTCACAGAGAGAGAGGGGTAACCTAAAGTCACTAATACAGTATAATGAAATTAACATTCACCACATCTATTTTCTAAACGCATGTTATTAATTCATTCATGCATATGATTCATGTTTTATATTTTGCATTGCATTCAGTTTCACCTCTCTGAGTGCCACGCCCACATCTCAACATCCAATCACACACAAAAAATGATATGTTGGCTTTAATTAACTTTGTTATGTCAACAGGCTGCACATAACTGGGTTAAGTTGAAGCAGTGTTTAAGTCAATGAGATAGTTAAGTGAATAATTGAGTGATAATTGAGCATTATTGAAGGCACCTGATGATAACAAGCAGAATCACTGAAGGAGAAAACCGGAATTTTAAGTCACCATTATGGAGATCAGTGTTTGATTTAGTGACCCTTAAATAATTAACTTTAGATGTTGTTTGGCTGCTGTATGTGATCTATAACAGCCAGATGAACAAATATAAAAGGTGATCTGATGGTGTTGGTTGTGTTTTAACAATCATCATATCACAATCATTTGACCTGAATAACTGAACTCATATAGGCTTGAACCCTATTTCTGAGTGAAGTTTAACTTATGGATTAAAGCAGCACTGTTGTTGTAGATAATACTATTTTTAACCTTGAAAATCAACGAAATCCATATAATCAAATCAATTAAAAGAAAATTTCTTAAAAAATAGATTATGTGGACATTAAGATCATCATACACAGACATCAAGAATCAGACTATGAATCTCCACAATGGTGACAACTATAAAGCATGTTGCATGCATTCTGGGTGCCACTAATCAAAACTCATTCATGTTAATTAAAGTCAAGATTTCATTTTTTTGAGTGCAACAACGACAGCCGGAACCAAATCTCCACACCCCATTATCTTTATAAATCATTTTGCTTGGACTTTACCTTTTTTGTTTTAGGCTTAAAAAATATTATTTGCTTATAGCATGTCCCAATTCTCCATTTATTTTCACCCCTGGACGTCTGAATGTGGGGTCACTGCTGGTCATTCACATGTTCTGTGTTTCATATAGTTCTAGTTCTGCTTCATGTGCAAAATAGAGTCAGGAAACTGTTCAATAAACAAGAAACTAAACACCCCTCACCTTTCCACTGCTCATCTCTGTCTCGTCCGTGGAAGAGTGCTGATCTGTGGAATAACACCAGTAAAACCTTTATTTCTAAAGCGCTATATACAATACAGACTGTTTCACGGCAGCTTCACAGTAATAGACAGGACAATAACAGTGTTCTTCAGTTATAAAAATTACAATTTCATCTGTTAAGCAGCTCTATAGTGTCACTATTCAGCTACATTTAGCTAAATTCTGATTTAATATCATCAGTTATGCAATAAACTCAATTCAATCACACAGCAGCTTAAAAGAGCATAGAAGTGTCATTATTCAGCTTCCAGGTCGGGTTTTGTTCTCATCCAGTGGAGTTACTGCACTTTAAAAAAATGCTGGGCTGTTTTAACCCAATTTTGGGTCAAATATGGACAAACCTAGCCATTGGGTTACATTTTTAAATTAAAATTTGAACCCAATGTTTGAGTTGTCCATATTTGACCAAAAATTGGGTTAAAAAAATCCAGCATTTTTTAGAGCGTGAAAATTACTAAATATAAGAATATAAAATAAATAAATAAATAAATAAATAAATAATAAAATCAACTTAAGATAAAACAAAACTCCAAGGGTGGCTTTAGGAAACAAAACATGAGTTGTTCTTGTCAATGTGGACACGGGAGTCTTAAAATTAGCAGAATTGGACTAAAAAGTAATCTAGAAAGTTTCAGATCCCTTTTCCATCAAATCAGATTGACATCAGGCTTAGACTGCTAATGAATTAGAATTCACAATCGCAGGGAGAATGTAAAACAGTAGCAGGTCACAGAAGGCCTGCAGACCATTAAATCCTGTGTGTGTTGGTGTGTGTGAGATCCTCACCTCCAGTCTTGATGCATCTTAATTTATATAATAACAAGACTGACGCTCCGATCAGCAGAAAAGACACACAAACGCAAGAGATGATGATTCTGTCAGAAATATCTGGAGAACAAGACGTGAGCAGTTTAATCTCTAAACCACCATTTTCACTAACACACACACACATAATTAATAGTTTAGCTGTAGTTTTGGAATAATGTAACATCATTTGCATCTGTGAATTTCCTAAAATCTATTTGTGGCTGTTCAGTTCTCTCACTTCTGCTTTCAATCTGAGGAGATCACCCACCAACTTCTAGTTCAACCATTTTGTCTGAAAATCTACCATTATTTGTGAGGTCAAAGACCATCATTGATGTGAATAATTACCTTAAAATATACACAATGTAGTTCAGGTTGAGCCCCATTTAAAGCTTTGATGTTGATCATAATTTATGGCATAGAGCTGATTTTCTTTGAGACTGAGGTCACGACAAGACTCCTAATATAATAATGTTTGGAGGGTTTAAATGCAAAAATGTGAAGCTTACGATTTTATTTTGTAATTTTAATGTTACAGAACTTTTTATAAAATTTAACTTGCATTGAACCCAGAATTTAGCTTTTACCAAAACTTGTTGTTTATGGCATTAGTTTAAAAAAAACACACACAAATCAATTATAATTAGCAGCATAACAATCAACTTTGGAAATAAAGGTCATGCTTACTCTTCTTGACTTCTAGATTGACTTTAGTGGTGATGTGAGCTCCACACCAGTATATCCCAGAATCCTCTTCTCTCAGATCAGTTATGTTTACAGTAAAGACTCCAGTAGAAGCTTCATCACTGAAAGAGAATCGATCATCTCTGATCTTCTCCAATGAATCTCCATCCTTCACACACACGGAGGGTTCGTGTGCTTTGCAGAAGCATTTCTGATGTCCATCATGATGTTTGCACTGGACTGACACGTCGTCTCCTTCATACTTAGTCAAGTTCAGCTCTGGAAATATAGAAGAACATCAATTCACAGCCATAGTTTCACATATCCAGACGTATAAACCTTCCTCACCCTCGTTCATGATGACGATCAGATGAGTGTAAAGATAATTCACGTCTCTCTCTAATGTCACTGCACACCAGTATTTCCCAGCATCCTCTGCTCTCAGTCCAGTGATGGTCCCAGTGAAGACACCAGCAGTGACGTCATCATTCAGAGTCAATCTGTCAGTCTCTTTTCTCACAGTCTCATTGAGAGTGTTTCTATCTCTAGTGGAGCACTTCCCCTTACAGAGAGACTTTGACTTAAAGGTTGAATCATAAGGGCAGAAGATCTCAGCAGATTCTCCTTCACGTCTCACTACTGGAGCCACTGCAAACAAACAACATATTAGCTGCAAATGCCATGAGCCCAAGGTGGAGCCTCTGTGATGAGCAGTTGAGGTAAGAAGGATGGTCCAAGGTGGATCCGAGTGGTCAACAGGTTAGTGACAGGCTCGTGGCCTGAAGTGCAGTCACACACTAAGGCGAAGCTGGAGACCAGAGGCGTCCAGCCCTGTGATTGCTCAGGGGATCTCGTACAGACCAGTTTGGGGAGCGTAAGAAAGTTCCCTTCACTTCTCCTGCAAGCCCTGCTGTCTGTTTTCCCAAACTGGAAGCCTGTCCGGCCGCTTCTTGCACGGTAAATGAGGACTTGTTGCTAACTTATGATTTTGGCTATATAGAAAGCGTGGTGTAAGTAGAGACAGATATTTATAAAATACCTGTTTCCTGGTCTATGCAACTGTAACCCCTACACCCGGGTCCTACTCGCGGGCCTCGAACCCGGGTCTCCGGCGTGAGAGTCGGGCGCTCTAACAAGGAGGCCAAAGACTGCAGCCTCTAACGTCTGTCGCTAGAGCGCCTATTGAGATCAGGGGAGAGAGGTTTACTCGCACAGCAACTACTAGCGGTCCTCCGTTACACGCACCCCCCTAAACCTCACTCTCATCCGGGTCACGGCACCAATGTAACCCCTACACCCGGGTCCAACTCGACCCGCCCCGAGCGGGCCTCGAACCCGGGTCTCCGGCATGGGAGTCAGGCACTCTAACAAGGAGGCTAAAGACTGCACTAAACTAAGCATTGAATACGATGAGTTAGGGGAGCTTCTGACTCATCCTAGATAGTCGATTAGATGAGCGATATCTGCAAAGTCAAGCAGGTGTTACTGGGGCCAGCAGGGGGTGCAGTTCAGGGAGTATAATCTACTCCCAGTTGATGCCATACTAACCCAAATAAATTTGACAACATGGATTATAAAATTTAGATGAAGTAATAAAAGAAGGTTGAAATCATGTGTAACTCACTGAAGAGGTGGAGCTGAATCTTGGTGGTCAGGGAGATGAAAGTCAGATTTGTGTCTCTGGTTTCGGCTCCACACCAGTAAACTCCAGCATCTCTCACACTCACATTACTGATGCTCACTGTAAAAACTCTCTCTTCATTTCTCTCAGATGAAGGACTCATTTCTGTCACTGCAGATGTGCTGATGTTTTGACAGATGTGATCATCAATCTCTCTACAGAAATGAACTCTATGTTCCTCTGGGATCTGACAGGTGATGTTGACTTCTTCACCAAGATGAGCAGATTCAGACACAAACGTTACATCTGTAAACCAAAAGAAAGTGCATAAAATATGAACCAATGCAAGATAAAGTATATATCCGGTTCCTCACCGTCTCTGACGTCCAGCTGTAGTTCAGTGAAGCTCTCAGTATAGTGAGACACTTTCACTCCACATCTGTATGTTCCTGCATCTGCAGTTTTCAGCTCTCTAAAAAACACCATCAAGACTCCTGCTCTGGTGTCGTCATATAAAGAAACATCTCCATTCTCCACCCATTCATCCTGAACTCCTGGATTCTTCCTCTCTGAACATCCGTCTGATTCTCTACAGATGTATTTTGGCTTGGTTTTGTGTTGAGGATGTTCACACTTGATCATCATACGACCTCCTGAGTGGCCAGTCGCTCTAGACACGCCCACTTTAGCTGTCAATCAGATACTGTATTCAATTATAATACACCTTATTAACTCAACATCCATCTCACTCTAACTACAGAAATGTTTGATGGCTACATTTTTTGAATACTATATCTGAATTCACTCACTGAAGAGGTGGAGCTGAATCTTGGTGGTCAGGGAGATGAAAGTCAGATGTGTGTCTCTGGTTTCGGCTCCACACCAGTAAACTCCAGCATCTCTCACACTCACATTACTGATGCTCACTGTAAAAACTCTCTCTTCATTTCTCTCAGATGAAGGACTCATTTCTGTCACTGCAGATGTGGTTAATGTCTGGCATATGTGATCGTCAATCTCTTTACAGAAATGAACTCTATGATCCTCTGGGATCTGACAGGTGATGTTGACTTCTTCACCAAGATGAGCAGATTCAGTCTTTGTCTTTGGATATTTTACACCTATAAACCAGGACAAGTTTACATAAAGATCAGCATAAATCCTTTATATAAATCATACAGTATATCCGGTTCCTCACCGTCTCTGACGTCCAGCTGTAGTTCAGTGAAGCTCTCAGTATAGTGAGACTCATTCACTCCACATCTGTATGTTCCTGCATCTGCAGTTTTCAGCTCTCTAAAAAACACCATCAAGACTCCTGCTCTGGTGTCGTCATATAAAGAAACATCTCCATTCTCCACCCATTCATCCTGAACTCCTGAATTCTTCCTCTCTGAACATCCGTCTGATTCTCTACAGATGTATTTTGGCTTGGTTTTGTGTTGAGGATGTTCACACTTGATCATCATACGACCTCCTGAGTGGCCAGTCGCTCTAGACACGCCCACTTTATACTTATTACAAATATGCAGATGAACAGTATTAATAATGGAGTAACTGTACGGGTAACTGTAGTCCCAAACTCCACATAAATAAACTCCTCCATCATCTGGAGTCACTGCAGTAATTCTCACACTGAAGAGATTTTTATGTCTGTCGTCAGAAACACTGAATCTTTCGGTCTTCTTCCATGTGCTGTAAATCGTCTCAATAGAGTCTTCTCCTTCTTTGAATATGATCTTGGGTTTATTAATATGATTCTGTGAATATTCACAGAAGGATGCAGTTTCTCCAATATTCACCATCACTCTCTTTGACCCTTTACAACATGAATCTGCAATTCACACAATAAAGAAATACATTTCAGATATTTAAAATCTTTAACATGATCAGTAGTTTTACAAAACAAAGACTTCAATATTAAATTGACTGACCTTCCACTTTCAAAGTCATATCAATGGACCACTGGTCTACAACCCAAATCCAGTATCTTCCAGCATCTTCTTGATTTAAATCTCTGATGTAGATCATAAGTTTTTCCTCATTGTTTTTAAACAGTGTAAATCGTCCTACATTAATCCATGTATCATGTTTCAGATGATAAATTATTTGTCTCCGATGATTTGATAACTTTTCCATACATTTATTATTTTCGCTGAACCAAAGTTTCCCAGAATCAACCAGAAGACTTCCTCCAGAATATCCAGTGACGGTAAAGCATCTCACTGCACCTGTCAATCAGATTGATACTGTGATCAGAAACCTCATGAACAGAAAACAGCATCATTACTGCAGTGATGAAAGAGAAAAGCTCTGACCTGAGATCAGGGAGAAAGTGAAGAAGACGAGGAGGATCTTCATTGTGAGTTGAGTTCAGTCTTCTTTATGCTGAATGTCCTCTGTGTGAATCTCTCTGTCTCTACATCTGTCTGCTTTAGTTCCTTCCTCTTTATCAGTAATGATCAGCTTTACTGGCTCCTCCCACCATCAGCACTGACTATTGAATATTACATTAATCACACTGAAAGAGCGCCACCTAGTGGATATGAGGAGCATGTAAGACAGTTCTGTACTGGACGATGCACCGGTAAAACAGATTTGAGGATCAAGAATGTCAGTCAAGTCATTTACACAACACCAGCGTAAGTCATTTCTCCAATCCTTTTTATTCCACCAGTTGAAACTACAGAAGCATTGATTGGGAAACCGGGGAACTGGAACAATCCTGTCTTCAGACTCTATTATAACTGCTCAGCGCATCACCGTAGCGAAACAGCAGTAATATGTTTTTCTTAGCACTTGATTATTTCAATAATGTTCAACCAGGACTATCCAACGTCTATTTATGGACATGATCCTTCAACATTAGTTGTGCAAAATACCTTTGGATGCATCCATCTCAATTAACTGACCTGTTTTACTGGAACACGGTCGATTTGGGTGTGATGTCATTCCCAGCTACAACACTAAGTGTGTTCGACTTCGGCTGGATGAAGTGAGAGTTGGCGAGTGCAGTCGGGAGGAGAGGAAATCAGAGACATGAAGTCGGAAACTTTCTGCTTCCCGTAGTAACGCTCATGTGTTATACTTTCTCATAAATGTACTGGATAGATTACATGCAATATTTGTCAAATACCCAAAAGTTTTTATGAATCAACAAACACTTTTTATTCAAATCTTAATGTACCGCTTAATACAACACCTGTATGAACAAGAATAAAGTCCAGTTACAGTTTTGTTTTCAGACAGTTTAATGTAACTTTCAAAAAAGTCCAGTTCAAACATTACTCGTAAACATAAGCTGTCACAGTTGCTAGGCAACAAGATCAGTCCTCAGTAAACTAGACCATCCCATTTTAACAACACTCAGTCCGACTCCCTCGAAGGATTCAGCCATTGAATTGAATTGAAATAATTCTCATTGTACTTTGAGGGAGTACATCACAGTAACATGGAAACAGTGCCGTCTGAAGTCGTCGAACTTTCAAACTGTCATGCACTTCTTCAAGTCAGACGCTGATCAGACTTGGAAAAAACGATTTAATCTAAACTAAAAGAAACAAGAAAATGAAACTGGCTAAATGCATTCTTGTTTCAGTACATCTTCACTTCAGTTGACATGTAACTGGACAGTGGACAGTTCTGTCCAGAAAGAAATTAATGAAATACACTTTCTGTGATCCTAAGGCTTAAAATAAATAAAACCGCTTTAGATGATTAACAGGTAACAATTGCAATATTGCATTTTTTTAATATACATGGGATATGATTCTATAGTAAAAGTTTAAGCAAATACACAATAACAAAAAAAAGCTGATAAATGAACTGAGTATCATGAGTGAACTCATACGAAAAAACAACAAACACAGTTAAACGTGTAAATTATATAAACTCTATATTATATAAACCTACACAATCAAATCAACTTTTCTATTTGTTCATCTGGCTGTTAGAAGTCACATACAGCAGCCAAACTAAATCTAAAATAAATGATTTAGTTAAGAGCCCAACTAAATCAAATACTGATCTCCACAATGGTGACCGAAAATTCCGGTTTTCTCCTTCAGTGATTCTGCTTGTTAACATCAGGTGTCTTCAATAATGCTTAATCATCACTCAATTATTCACTTAATTATCTCATTAACACAGCTTCAGTGTTCATTATATAATTCACACTTCTCAGTGTTCATTTAGCACTGGGGATTTTGCAGTGTACTAAAGTAGCCTTTCTCACAATATATTTATAACTGAAATCCTGCACGTACAAATCTGAAGCTCAGGATATTCAGAGAGATGAGAACAATAACAGCTCTGCATTCTCAGGTTACATGTTTCTCATCATGGCTTTGGTCAAACTGCTACTAAAAAAAGTCTTAATTAAGTATGCGTGTGAAAAGCTGCTGTGTCTCTGCTTCTCGAGAGGAAAGTTTACAGTTTATTCTAAAGTGTCGCTCAGGGGTTTTATTTCCTGTCCATTGACCTCAGATAAACTGAGCTGACAAACTATTTTAAACAAGTGAAAGAGGCAACATGATCAGCGCTGGAAACTTTAATGTGTCTCACGATTCAAGACAGCAGGACGTCTCTACATTAATGATAACAATGGTGAGTTAGTTGAGTCTTGTGCGGTACATGACCGTGGTGTAATCAGGGTAAAGTTCGTTCTTACTGACAGTGACTGAAGCTTCACTGAGAGACTCTACAACCTTCTGGAAACTGACAGACGTATACCAATCTGAAGAGTGTGTGTGAGCGTAACCTCGTCTCCTGTGTCTTAATTTACACACAGTCAGAGTGAATCCACCAATCAGCAGCAGACTCGCACACACACAAATACTGATGATCATGGAGACATCTGATGAAAATAAAACACAAACAGAGATAAATCAAGAGCTACACATGAATTGAATTGAATAACATCTACACAAATATTCAAACCGACGGTCCAATTTACATTGTTAACATGAATCTACATCTGTAAACATAAAGCTGGTCTGTTTCTGGTTTTGTGGCCGTTTGATTATTTACTTTGTTTTATCTGTTTTATATTGAGAATTGACCATGAAATCCAACTCAGTGTGCTTTTATATCCAAGACGAATATCTGTCCCAGATAGCAAACTGACATTGAATCAATGTGGAAACATGACATCGAAACAACGTTGATCTGACATCGTTTTGCTCATCGAATTAACGTTGAACCAACGTCAGACGCGCCATTCTTCAAAACTAACGGAAAATCAACTTGAAATCAACGCTGTTTCAACGTTATGAAAGCAAACCAATTTTCGATTTTCATTTAGCTTTGAAGAATGGCGCTGGTTCAACGTTAATTCGATGAGCAAATCAATGCCAGATCAACGTTGTTTCGATGTCACGAGAGACGTCGTTTCCACGTTGATTCAATGTCAGTTTGCTGTCTGGGGTTTTTACACTTACAGGTTAAAAATAAAGAGTATCGAGAGCAATAGTGATCCAAGCGAAGGGGAACTAGATCGGGGAATAGGCAAAGGGACTCCACCTCGTTTGAGGCACTTGAGTCTCGAATTAGCATCTAGAGAGCAGGACGGCACATGGCACGCGGCTCAAGCCTTTACAAGAAAGGGGAGACGAACAACGTGCCGACGTGGTCAAGCTCTTATGAGAGAACATAAATCACCCATGAACGCAGTCTCGTCATGCTTAAGCCCAGGCATGTGAAACATTGTGGTTTCAAAGACAAAGATGCGAAGCTCCTGCTGCTCATTATATGTTTGCAATTATCGCACGCCAATGTGTGTGTTGGCTCGTCTAGTTTACACTCGAAGTGAATTGGTCTCTCAAGCGAGATCCCCCATTCATCAGTCATGGCGTACGCAGTAGTGACTGACAAAGGGGAACTGAAGTGAAACCAAAACTGAACGTCACAGACTTCAAACCTTCAGCTCATTTCTGTGGTTTTGATCTGGAATAAACAGTCTGTTCATCAGACACACTAAACACCCTC